CCTTCATTCCAGTCTCCAATGATTCCCTCAGCAAACATGAACTTGGTGGGCTCATACCCCTCAATTGGCAGCATCCCCTGCATCAATTCACCTGTTACTGATGTTCATGCCTTGGACATTGGTCATCTAACTGCCCAGCTTGCAGTGGCAACTAACAGCAAAATCCACTCCTGGGTAGTCCAAGGCCTCTACCTGCCTTTGGAGGATCTCAGGCCTTTGGGGGGGGTGATGTTACACTGCACTCACATAGCTTCCCTTTTTAGACTTTATACTGTACTTTCCATGCTCATCACACTTTCAAGTGATGATGTTCTGCCACTGTGAGCCACCACCCTTGCAACTGGACTCACATTCCATACATTTTCCTTTTATGTTATCCCCCTGTTTATCCCATGTTGTACTATAGCTGGACTGTGTCCATTTACCCTTCCTTCTGTGATCCACTGGTGGCCCTGATCCATGCAGTCATGTGACATGTGTACCCCTGGTACCCATCCACCCCTGTACATCACATATGCAGTTACTTCCCTTTCATCATACATTCACCCCCAGTTCCCTCCACTGCACAGACTTGGTTGTACATGTGGTCCTGCTGTGCAGTGACTCACTATGACTCAACAATGCCTCATTAGGAACTTGGGTGCACATTTAAACATTTTCAAATGTTTGTCATGCAGTACTCTATAGATGTATATAAACCTGCCTGTACCATACTGCTACCTCATTCAAAATCTACTTTGCAACCACCCTTAGCTCTGCTTGCTGTACCAACAAGGACTCAACAGTATGACTTTGGTTGGCCAAGGCTAGTGCTCCATTCACTAGTGAAGTTAAATTATGTGTCACTTCTTGTGCAGTCACATGCTTGTGCATTAGCACTCAATTCATGATGTGATATGAGTCATCAGCATAACACCAACATCATGGCACTCTTTTTCAAAATGGTTTACTCCTGCTTTGGACTGTATGACAAAATCATATCTGACAGAAGCCCTCAGTTCACCTCAATGTTTGCTAGAGAACTTGCCTCCCTTCTGGGATACTCCCTTGCCCTGTTGACAGCATATCACCCTCAAACTGATGGGGAAACTGAATGCATAAATCAAGAGGTTGAAACATACCTCCACATCTTCTGTCAGAACAACCCCACCCTATGGGTGGATAACCTCCCTATGGCAGAATTCATGCATAACCACTGCCCCCACTCCATCACCCACCAGTCACCATTCTACCTCATGTACAGGTATGAACCAAAACCACTTCCATCCCTGATTGCAGAAACCCACCTTCCTGCTGCCAAGTCTAGACTCAAAGAACTCCAAAAAGCTAGAGAAGAAGCCCTTGTGGCACATGATGCTTGAACTATGTCTTGACTATGGTCAAGCATAACAGTCATCAGTGCCAAAGAAAAAGGAAGCAAGCAAGTTAAGTGCCAATAAAAGTTCTTAAGCACCCATGTATGGCATTCCAGTTTTCAATGTATCTCCACCAATTCCACAGATACTGACACCATTCCCACACTCACTTATAGTGCTCAGCCATGCAATCCTACCTTCCAAAATTGGAAAGGATTTGCACACTCCACATGTTTCTACAGCACTCCCTCCAAAAGACACTCATTTTGCTAATTCTTCTGATATGGCCACCTCCACATCAATCATTTCACTTGTCCCCTTTGCTAGGGACCATGGCTATGCATATCTACCAGGAATTCCTACCAGCTTCCATCCTAAAGCATCCTGGTACATCCCATCCTCATCTGCCCCCTCTCAGCCCATCCAGCTTGGACAGCACATTCTTTGGTCACCTCAGGTCTGTCATTCACTTGGAAAGGTCTTATGTGGTCATTTCAGTCTCTCCAGTCCAAGAAGCATATGGATCCTTCCTCCCTGCTCCCTGCAACATCTTCATACCAGTCTCATCCATCATTCTTCCAAAATTGCAACAGCTACAGTATAATCTACTGTTCTCCACTCTCCCTGATCACATCCATGATGAGTATGACACACATCTTGCCTCCTTGTTGCAAAATACAGCAGAAGACACTCCCCCTTCATCCTCTCTTCCAACAGAGCCTCATTCATCAAGTTTTTTATTTGCTTCACTGAGAGGACAGTTAGGGGAGGAAAGTTGTGATCCCCTATGCTCCTGTCACCCCACAGACCCCCAAAGCTTGACCCCTGTTGACACCTGACTCACCCTGTCCACTTTTGGATGTACTATATCAGCATCAGATCAGCACTGCCTCTCTGTCATCCCACTTTGGCCCAGAAGCAATCTCTTTGAGATGTGACATGCACAGCCTCCCCCTAATGCAATTCCAGTGTGCTTTCCCAGTTCCTGACATCACTTGACTCATACTTTGACATTCTGACTGTCTTTGACTCACCTATTGCCAATACTTACCAATCTTTTGACCCTGCTTAATGATTCTTTGCCTTTTGGCTTACTTATCCTTACCAATGCTCACCAATGCTTTCTAAGATGATTACCTACTGCTCACATTCCTTACTTATCAGTTACCAATCACTTACCAAGTGTTTGCACCTTGTTTTCCATAGGCAATGCCCCTGTACTGTATATAAATCACTGTACTTAGATAGCTGGATAAGAAGAAGATGTCAGAGAGCCCCTCTTGCTTGCATTTTATCATCACTCAGTAATTCATTCAGCAGCTTCAATAGTTGAGACTTCGTTAAGGGTCTAACTATCATCTACTTTGCTTATTATCATCTATCATCAATCTACTTTGCTCCAAGTCCTCCCTGAGCTCAGTGCAGCTCAGAGCATTGAATTAAGTCACCATCCATCCTTCTGTAGGCTGACAGCAGTCTACCCTATCACATTCTATTGCATTCTTGCTCCCTCTTCATCAGGAGCACCCCCCAACCCTCAGCACTCATCTTTGAGTGTTGTAGCTTGCAGAAACCACCCAGACAAAAGGTTCCACCATCTAGGTACCACATAGGCACACCACCACTCACTCTCATTGTCTTTTGTGTTGGTTTTGGTTGGTTTTCACCACTGAACCACACTTTGACTCACACCACTCTGACTGCTGTCAGACTTGTATTGCTCTCCTACCAGACCATGTGGACTGTTCTCTGAGGAGTCATGTGACTACCCTTCCCTGACAGTGTGCAGTCAAGTACTCTGCAGCATGTGCACTGCATGGTCCAGCACCTGGACTGTTCCCTTTTTGGGATGTTCTATGTTACCTGTTCATATGTATGTCCTCCATCTACCCTTCATTCATCATCTAGGAAGTTTTACTTGAAATTTTACAAGTCTCCATATGTCAGTTCCAATTCTGGTTACTGTACCTCCATAGTAGTATAAAAGCATTTATCATACTCCACTGTTCTTCAGTATGAATATCAACTTAGTTCCTACTCCCTCTGTCTCCATCTTCTGCCTGTCAGAGTTACCTCCAACTTTCTGTCTGTTCCCTCCCTCTGAAATACAAGGGCTGAGATCATGCAAGGGGGTAGTGCATGAGCTGAACCCAATGCCCTCACTCTGCTCCACCTTTGTCTTGGCAGACTTCATTCCTGCCAACACTCCACCAGTTGGAATTCTGTTCTGTTGTGTTGGACTTGCTTCCAAACCTCTCCCCAGACCTTATCTAGCATCAGAGTTGGTCAGAGTAGGCCTGGACTTGACAAGTAGCTTATATACAGTACAGGGCATAGCCTATGGAAAACAAGGTGCAAACACTTGGTAAGTGATTAGTAACTGATAAGTAAGGAAGTAAGCAGTGGGTACTTGACTTGGAAAGCATTGGTAAGCATGGATGCAATCAGGGAGAGTGGAGGACAGTAGAGTATACCATAGCTGTCACAGTTTTGGAAGAATGATGGACAGGATTGGTATAGGAGATGTCCTAGGGAGCAGGGAGGAAGGATCATAACTGGGGAGACTGAAATGACAACACAAAACCTTTCTAGCTGAATGACAGACCTGAGGTGACCAAAGAATGTCCTTCTGGATGTCATACTGACAAGGAGAGTGCATTGTCCAAGCCAGAAGGGCTGAGAGGGGGTGGATGAGGATGGGATGCACCAAGATGCTTCAGGGTAGAAACTGGTAGCAACTCCTGGTAGATATACTTAGCCATTATCACTGGTGAAGGGGAGAGGTGAAATGATTGACATGGAGGCAGCCATATCAGCAGGATTAGCAAAATGAGCATTTGTTGGAAGCAGTGCTGTAGAAAGTGTGAGAAGCTTTTCCAAATTTGGAAGGTAAGATCACATGGCTATAAGCAAGTGTGGGAATGAAGTCACTATCTTCTGAATGGGGGAGACATGTCAAAAACCAGAATGCCATAAACAGGTGCTACAGTAAGAATTCTCATGAGCACTTAACTTGCTTCCTTCTCTTTCCTTTTGCAGTGATGACTTGCTCTTGTGCAAAGGATGACTGTTAACATTTCTGTCATCTACCTATGCATTAGGCCTCTAGTCCTTCATCTCCATTCATCAGCCATACCCATGTCCACATCTCTGAATACCTTGGGTGTGTCTCACTGAGGACCTTCAAAACTACTTTGATGACATAGTCAACTTCTGTGATGGATTTGGTCTCTTGGACACAGTCACATGAATCAAGTTTGCATGAATCAAGTTTGCACTCAAGTACACACCTTTTGAGTCAGCCAACCTCTGGTCACCTTTCATGGATAAATGTAATGGAGATTGGGTTCCTTGGAAGTCACTCACCAGTTCCCAGAATTGGATGTGACAAATTGAAGTCATGTCACCAAGCTTCACAGACTAAAGGATGTATTTGCAAGTTCAATCATGCTTATCTTAGCATTCCACACAAATGTCTCTTAAAACTGGGAAAGATGATTAATTGAGGACATAGCATCAGCACAATACATTAGAATGAATGCCAATAAGATTCATGCCCTATATACCACCTGGCCATGAGAGGCATGACAACATGTATGTACTTCTCAAATAAATACAGGTCCATCTGTTTAACTTCTTGATCACTTAAGTGGTACTAACAAGCTATGCAGGCATAGCAGCCATCAGAGCATCCACCGGCGCGGCTGGCGATGATGCAGACGATGGCGTATTATCATCGTCCCCGAAGATATCCAGAAACCCAGCCACCCTCGCCTTATTACCCGCCTTCTTGGTAACGTAGTCCCGCAAACCGGATTTTAAACTCGGCTGCTTGTCCACCAGTTCGCGCAGTTGTTCTTTGGGTAGCTGGAGTAGCGCGCCAAAACTAGCCGGAGCGATCACTTTAGCGCAACGAATGAAACCTTCCCACAGGTGGGGATTTTGCCAGATTTTTTTCGTGATTAACCGGGATAAGAGTGTTGTCGAGACGAACGGAACGAGCGATTTATATGTCGTTACAGCCTGGATGACCTATTTGTCAACTCGGGGTGAGCCCATCATTCGTCGCCCTCTACTTATGCAACAACACGCACCGTCCGTAGGAACAATACTGGAAGAACTGGCTCGTCAACAATTTGCTGCATCACCACAGCAAGGATCTCGGAACGGAAAACATCCGTCATAGAAAAACAAATCCCGATGGCTTATTTCGATTACCCCATGGCATTAGTACCCACGAAGAAAACCAAAGAATGGAACCACCAAGACATACCTTCGATGGCGCTCTTCAACCCGATCTCTTTCTCGGCCTCATGCAGAAGCACCATCAATTCAGCGGGCGTAAGCAACTCACTCTGTCGTACACGCGGCAAATTTGATGTCACGCTTCCAAACGTTTGCGGAGGTGTCGTCACGATCGAGCTGAATACCGACCGAACCAAGTTCTTCGGCTCCGGTTGTCCATTGAGGATAGAGACGATACGGGGGAGGTGCCGCATGATGTCCACCTTGTCCATCTCTGCGATGATCGGTATCAGGAAACGTGCGTCGAGATCGCGCTCCGAAATGAGACCCTTGACCAGCGCAACCAGCTGTACACTCGGTCGCCCGTGTTCCGTGAAGATCGTCAACACTCGAAGAGCCAACGATTCAGAACCAGGCGGGCACGTCCGCATGAGTGTCAGGAGCTTCCCGTTGTTCGAGCCCAACGACTTGATCAGTGCCGTTATGAGATCTTGTATGGCCTCCTGTACAGTGATGTCCATTTGGCTGTACGATACAAAGATCCTGGACGCAAAAAAAAGCATGAGCTTACACCATAAAACTGGGCGAATGACACATACTCATCCAAGAACTCGGGAATTTTGACAGATAAGGCAAAGAGGAGCTCGACGTGTTGAAGTACATGCGACTTCTCTGCCGGAAGCTGTATTTCGTCGATAAGGTATGGCGTCTGGATAAGCTCCTCCGGTGGAAGTTGTCCATCTTCCATATTATCATCTTCATGCCTCACCATTCGCTTGACCATTAGTGCCTTTGCTTTCTTGAGACGGACGTTTTTGCAAGCGCCGTAGGATTTGCAAGGCAAAGTCACGAATCATACTATGCAGGGGCTCTACGCCTGGGACCCATCGTCTTACCGTATTAATAGCCGCACGCCGTGTAACCGAATCCGGATGAGTCGTCAAGTCCAATAGCACGCGCAACGCCTCCGCTCGTAACGATGGCCGCTCCAAAACCAAGTCTCGAAGCGTCGTGAAGCCCACGTGCATCCTGCTAAGTCAATCAATGATCCGATTTAATGATGAGGCAATAAAGGACCAACTTTTCTGCCTCGACGGAAAGGTCACGGAGCATGTCCAATACGTCCGAAGGTACGTCTGGCAAGTCCAACAAAAACCTCGAGAACGCTTTGTCTCTACTGTCGGGTTTTCCATCAGCCTTGCTCTCCAGAATGGTCTGATATGTAGAAACGATTTGGTTTAGCCACGACTCGTAGTTCGGCCGCTGAGCAGTAGTGAGCTGAGGAGTTGCAGATAAAGTTACACGTTGAACGTACCCAATTGGGGTCAGCAGCACTTCGTATGCGGTCGTTATACCACTCTTCATTCATCCAAGTAATCGCCAAGCGTAACCTGTTATGCAATATTCATGGCTGTCATCGCAGAGGGAGGGGGGAACTGTCGAAACGAACCTAGAAGGAAAATCGCTCATGATGTATTCGCAAAGGGTCTGCCGGAGCGCATCTTGCCGCGAGCACAGCGCCGTTAGTTGAGCGTCCGCCGCATCGCTCGATTCGGCATCGTCTTTTGGTGATTCAGATGCTCCGGGAAGTATAACCGCCCGAGTGATCATGCGGACGATGAGCAACATCCACATGTCGTTTGCGGTCTGACTACTGCCCATGGAAGTCGTACGTCGCAGGTCCTCTGCACCATCCCATATTCGAGTTACAGCGCCCCGCATGAGAGCGACTCGTTCATCCGCGGAGAGGTCTTTAGGTGACGGGAGCTTGAAATCCAACAGGTCAAAGGGTAAGTCGTCAGGAATATCCACTGGTATCATTTCCTCGTAGGCGGCAGCCTCTTCACCGGAAAGCTAGAGAATGAACGGTGAGTCAGATGATTCCGACCACAGTTGGAACGAAAAGACCAACCTCCAGGTTCAATTTGTCTGGTTCATACTCCATTTCTTCTTCATCGATATCCATTTTCAATGGGTCGACAACTTCCTCCTTGACAGCTTCAACACCTGCGAGCGTTCCGCCAACTGGGGTTCCTTCGATACGAGCAACAGAGTCTGGTGGCTGAGGGGGCTTAGTTGGCGGCACGGATGGTAATCCTCTACTTTGTCGATATGATTGAACCAAATTCATTAATGCAGGCTCCGAGAACGCTTGCAGATTAGCAACAATGAGATCCGTTACGAGTCCGATCGGGAGCGTAGTAAAGTCGAACGCAGCAAGGAATGCCGCAGAGTTCGCCGCGGCATTGTCGACTTCAGCTTTTAGACGTTTTGGATCTGCTTGTTCTTCTGGAGGAATGGAGGAAGGTGGGCGTTTGCGTGTTGCCTCGGTCGCTGCAGCTGCGACAGCTGCCTTTCGTGCTTTCTCTTCGGCGGAAGCACGTTCCATGCGTTGAGCCTGTATGGCGAGAGCTTCGTTAATCTGGGCACCGAAGGCCGAACCATGAGGACCTCTACAAAAAGAGCTCAATGGATAACCCGAGATATGTTTCGTGACCCTTAGGCTTACCTGGATATGTGTACAAGCAATATTCGAATGCTCTTCTCCACGCTCTTGATCGCAGACACCGGTAAACCGGCAAGGGAAACTGGCGTCCACGAAATCAGAGACGACACGATCAAGTGCACCAACGAAGGACGTTGCTTGATGAGAGTGCTCCAGCTATTGACGATGGCGGTGAGGATGTTAGGTTCCCTGTAGAATGGATCCGTGTGATCATCATGATGAGAGACCTCGTCGTTCGAGGGAAGCAGTCGAGTTCGGGAAAGCTCACTGGCTAGTGTACAACATCGTGATCACGTTCTCCAACAATTTCATCCCCTCTGCCTCCAAAGCAGACGCAGACAAGAAAGGGTGGTCCACGGGGACGTTGGCGATGTTGGGATCGTTCTTATTTTGAAGCTGCTCAACTTGCATTAATAACTGGCGCCAATCGCGGGAGGAAAAAAAAAAAAAAATAGGGGGCGTACCCTCGGATCAGAGATACCACGGGATTGCAAGAGGATCACTTTCTGCACGAATTTGATGGCAGATAGTTTAACGCCATTGTTAGCTGTAGGCGACCGGACGAAATCCAGGATCCTAGTTTTACACTGGGTCAACAAATCCCATTGCTGTCGTTGTGTGCGATTGGAGCATCTGACAAATAACAAGACAAGAACAAAGAGACTGAGTGGGTGCCAATGCGGTCTGTGGAAATTCTCTTACAGGGTACGGAAGAGGAGCGCATATGCAGGTCGTGAGACACTGAATGACGACCTTGACGGTTCGAACGGAGGGGTCATTCAACAAATTCGCCAAGATGTCGATAGACTGAGACGCGACTAAAGACGAAGAGAAGAGGGGGGGGATAAAATAAAATAAACAGAAAACGTTTGATTTGAGAACATCAAAAGAAGAAGATACTACGAAGAAGTACTAACGTTGCGTGCGGACTTCGAGAGAGAGACTAGACCGACATATGGCAAAGTGGAGGAGGTCCAACACCCATCTCTTGAGTAGGGATTCGCCCGCGCCCGACACGGTTCTGATGAGGGTCGTGCAGAGGATGGGTATGGGACTGGGGTGGGCCTCGAGCGATTCACGTAACGCGGCGAGCAATTCAGCCTGTTCTTTCGAGTCTGCTGGGACAGCTAACGCCGCTGAGAGCGCTTGCAGGGGGTCAAGTGGGTTCCCCGCCATGTCTCTTTTTTTTTTCTTTGGTTAATAACTGATCACCAGTTAGGGCTCTCGTCGTCGCTGTGCTCCCGGGGTTACACTTATTAGTAGTAAGTAGGATAGCAGCAACGCCAGCCCGGTAGTGCTCCCAGCGACCGACCGAATAGGCTCAATAACCAGAGAGACAGTCGGAGTTTGAATTCACTGCCGGTCTCAAGTACTCACACAATGGTGCGTGCACACGAAGACAGCCGTCCAGCTAGTTCTACATTGATGACGACGACGACGACGACAGGCAGCGCACCCTTCTCAGGGAATACAGACACTATTAGAGGCAGAGAAAGAAGCAGCCAAGATCGTACAACAAGCACGCCAATGTGAGCGCACTCCCTCCTCCATAACAGCTGACTGAAGGCTCCCCCCCCAAGACCGCGTTCAGAGATTGAAGGATGGACGTTCAGAAGCGACTAGAGAGATCGAAGTGTACAGACGGGCAAAAGAAGACGAGTTCAAGGCATTTGAGGCATCGGTGAGTCTGCTCTACATAATCTCATCATATATGTACATACTACATATATCCAATCACTCATTATTTCTCTTTCGCGCGCGTCGAAAACAAAGTATGCTGGCAGCATCTCCAATGCCGAAGTCGCCGTCGAGAAAGAGACCGATGTCAAACTCCAGTCGATCACAGAAACGTTCGAAGCTCAGAAGGACCAGGTCCTGCGAAAGCTCCTCGATCGCGTCGTCCTCATCAAACCAGAGCTACATCGGAATCTCAAGAAGGGCTCACTGAGAGGACCGGAGGAACAGTAGTGCAATGACAGTCGACCCGTGTACGCACGCGCACACACTCGCCAGGACGGATTATAGGTACTATATTACATCTTGCTTTTGACTGCGATACGATGACAAAGCGAATGCATGACAAACTCCTGCTATGTAAAATGCGACCTCACCTCGTATATGTCTGTCGCCATGATTACAGGTGAGTAGGTACCCCGAAACAATAAATACGACAGGGAACGACGAGACAAAGTTAGTAATCCTCCATGAGCGCCGTTGACGTAGTAGAAAAGGGCGAATGCGAGGAGGAATGACCGAAAAATTAACCAAACTGATATATCCCTAACCCTGTCTGGTCACCGTCGACTCGTGTGCCAACCACTGTAAACCAACAGGCATGCCACTCGAAGACGGCAATCCAGACATCGTCCCACCCCTGGGTAACATCCCCGAATCTGTCTTTGATTGTGCAGGTTGCGACTGCGCCGCCATCATCGGTGGTGATGGCGAGTGCGTTGCGGGTGCTTGTAAATGTGGCGATCGCCCTGAATCTCTCCCACCTGTAGATCGGCATGGTGGTGCGAGCTGTTGAACGCCTCCTCCTGGTGGTGACCACACGGAAGGCGACGATGCCGAAGGAGGCCCTGCACCAGGCACCTCCGTTGCAGTTCCAGGACTAGGGTGCGACCACTCCAACAACCCACTCGCTTTCAACGATGGCAACGAGTGCTGAGCCTGCTGCGAGTTCGCCGTAGTTGTTGGGCCTTGCTGTAGTTGTGCTCGTGTGTTTGTCGACTGGACTGGCGGCGGTGCTACCACAGATACTGGTCCACGGGTAGGCGTGCACACAGAGGGCGACCCGCACCCAGTCTGTGTCAACGCAGGATCAATATTCCCATCATGGCCAGCTCTCACCGCCGCAGCATCCTTCTCCCTCGGATCAGCCCTGCCATCAACCAGGTGAGAAGATGACGACTGGGGTAAACTCTGTGCGAGGCACAGGGGTTGCGAATGGAACCGTGGATCGAGCGCCGTCCGGGGTTGGAGAGGGGGGTATCCAAGTTGGACAGGCACCGCCGGTGAGGTGACCATTTCAGGGCCCGGTGGTGGCGGCTGCCGCGGAATGATGACCGGATTCGGTCCAGGGGGTCCAAGAGCAGGCATGGCCCCAGTCGATGGCGGCACCGCCACTGGCGACTGGCGATTACGGGGGGCGCCGGTGAGTGATGACGATGGCACAGGGGGTGGTGCGGCGTGTGAGGCTAAGAACAGTGGCGCTTGTCTGGGATCTCCCGAAGACGAACAGAGCTCATGGATGCGCACGCCCCATATCTCCTCGAACTCACTGGACCATTTGAGCAATCCCGGACTTCGATCATCTGTGTACTTGAAAAGGGGCTATGGCCATACACATCAGCCTTCCTTGTACCCGGTCGAAAAACGACCGCCACTTACCCAAAGGATGATACCCACTGTAGTAGCGAGTCTCACGTCAGTTCATGCGCCACATGCACGTGCAAATTAGCAGCATGCTCAACTTACAAAGAATGCTCAGCTTGACTTTCTCACCCCACACGTCCATAATTTTATGTAACTTCTCTTGGGCCCCTGAGATATCGTGCGGCATTGCTGTACGACAGCGCTGCCTAGCCTGATAAATGGAGACACGAACAGTCCGACATTAACACCCACGCATCCACACACGCACACGCGCACGGGGCCCGGACGTACCCAATTTAACGCAAGAACACACGAATTATGAAACGCGTGCATGGCGGCAAAACACCAGGCACCCATGTTAAAGCCAGTATCGTAGATGTTCATTTGGACAAGTAAATTTTCGTCTGTAAAACGAAGGTGGTCGGGAAGAGCCTCGGCCCAAGCCTAAGTGGCATCGATAAAAGGAAAGGCGTCAGCGCATACGGCATGCCCACTAGATTATGAATTTATCGATCGCCCTTCGTTCGGCCGCCCGCACTTGGGCATTCCAAGCGAAGTCCAACCAGGAAAGAAGGATTAGGTACTTACCATCACTTGTTGCTCGAGTTCTAGCAATTTTGGCCTAGGATGCTTCCCATTCTCACGATCTGCCCAGCAAGTCCGGTGAATAAAAATCGTAGTGGGGCAGTGACAAACCCTGACAGTGAGAGAACGCGGATATAGATAGTGGACCGGAACTTACTATTAAATTCATCCAACGTCCTCTCTATCTGTGCGTGTAAGGAAACGATCCGGATGACTTGACCTATCTCGGACAAGACCGTGCACGGGATAGGACGCGTCATATACTCTGAGGGAAGACGTGTCATTAGCCGAGATACCACGTATTAGCGAGGGACGAATACCTGGTATCGCGGTATGCGGAGATAACTCGAAGCAGGTCTCATCCATGGGAAGACGGAGGCTGAGCTGGGACTCTGTGGCGAGGATATTACGTTTGTATAGTACGGACGCCACACAGTCTGATATGTATATGAGCCAGAAAACCCGACGGGCGCATTCACGTTCGATAGAAGCATTAATGAATTCTGCTGAAGGGAAGGGCGTAAGCACGGTGTGATCGCGGTCGAAAATTCCCAGCCTCGTCACGATGCTGAGGGCGTGTTCTGTTGAGAAAATCGGACCAAGTTAGTAAGGTAACTAGTCATCTTTGGAGTGGCAGGACACGGACGATGATATTGAGCTGCCCACAGAGACTTGCTCATTCTGTCGTGAAGCTGCAATAGGCATAGAGCTTGCGCCGTGGCGAGATTGTGTTCGCAGGTGAGATTCCGGTTCTCGTCGAACATGAGGGCAGCGGCTTCCTGGGCGAAATGTTCACCCGCATTTCGACCGGGGGAAGTTCTTAAACAGGGTTGCTTGGATAGAGAAGCACCGACAGCGCAAACTGCGAGAAGGAGGTGGGGGGGCACAGCCTGACGGCTGAGATCGGCAAGAAAGGTGGGTTGGTGTATGATCATACGATGAGGTTGGCGATAGGTAAAGAAAACTGGAGGGGATGCGAGTATCAGAGGCGGGGGAAAGTAAGCGATGTCGTGTGATGCTACGTACGATGGACGAGTTCCCGAGTTAAAGCAGGGTCGCGTTCGAGAGGTCTATCTGATACAGGGAGTACCGGGGGAGCGAAGGATTTTGGGAGCGCCCCTGAGGCAGACGCCAAGTCAGAGCGGAACCGCTTACGAGCGGACGCTGATCTGTCGTCTTCCGCCGGAGACAGGTCTGCGCCGGGATGGGGGAGGAGACTGCCATATGGTGGCGAGCCATCTTGGGAGGGGTACGCGACGATGCGGACGTTGACAGAGGTTTCTGGGCGGGGTCTGGGAGCAGGAACAGGTTTCCCCGATGCATCTGTGTACGTGCATTTTTTGGATGCGAAATAGCTGGCAGCAAGGGACTGTGTGTGATGGGGCGTGCGGGAAAGCGAAACCGACATTCACGTACCAGTTGCTGCAGGGCGCTTCAAGTTTAGAGCGGTCGTCAGGGATGGAGTTGACAGCGTGCCAAGACGAGAGAAATCAGAGAGGGGACGAACCTGTACCATCACAGCGTCGTTTACTCTTATGACAGGCATCACATGCCTTTTCGAGGGCGTTGTTACGGGACGATGGCATCGGGAACGAGCGAGGAGACACATACCTTTGCCAGTCGCTTACGCTTTGGGCCCTTCATGAAGGCAACGCTATCGGCTGGGTGTGGCATGTGAGGGTCTGGGTGGGAGAGTGAAGTGGGGGGCAGGAGGGCATCGGGGGAGCGGGCAAGGTTGTCCATGGCTAGAGAGGCATAACCCGGATGGGATGGGGGTGGGATGAGACGGTGGAGGATGCTGGCAACGCTAAAGTATATAAAGACAAGACGGCGGTTACCGACGTCCCACAGTTGACGTTGTCGGGGTGAGAAACTCGGTCGCCAAGCCAGACACCGACGCTGGCGAGGAGCAGAGACGAGAGACGAGAGCAGGATCAGTCCTGGTCCAGGCTATTTACCCGTTTAGCCCCAGGCCAGCCAAGCCACAGCCATGCATCACACGCAGATCTCTTTTCATCCCCGCCGGCAGTCCACCCACATATTCCCACCCGTCTTCGGCCCGGTGGCTTTCTTCTTCCTTCCCTGCGGCACAAAATATACATTATTTATTATTTTATTGCCTCCTCCTTCTCCTCCGCAGTGTGTCCATCATGGGAGGGTCCACGCTTGACGGGCGGCGCCACTCCTAGCCACCCGCGTGGCCTGCACCTGCCGCAGCCAGCCTCCTGAATTAATATTTGCCGACGGTAACTTGCGGTATGCAACACGCTAATAATCACAACTCGGATGCATTAATGCCGCCGGGACATGTCCATATATGGCATAGCAGCACCTCTCGGCATAACTAGTCCGGACCGCCGACATCTCTCATTGGCTGATGCGTGATGGGCGTCGACTGCATTAACATATGCTGCGTGGGACGATAGATACATGCACGTAGTAGCACTATTCGCAACTTTAATATCATTAATCGAACAGACCGAAGCCCATGTCGTCGTCGGATTCTTCCTGTGTGCACGTTCAAAAAAATGGTTTAGCTCGAGTCTAACCCTTAATCTCACCTTTTCCTCTTTCTTCTCTTCCTTTTCTTCTGCAGCGGCCTCCGCTGCAGGAGCTGCTCCACCGGCAGCAGCAGCGGGCGCCGCAGCAGCACCACCGGATGGAACCTGCCGATACAATTGAGATGAACACACGTCAACCCATCCCAAGAATATCCTAGACCACTTACAGAAGCAAGCTTGGCTGATCCCTCAGCAATGAGCTGCGAAACCAATCCCGTTCAGTATACTTGACAACGTGCACCGCACAAACGCCATTACTCACGGCGTTGACGTCCTTGCCGTCCAGCTCGGAAATCAAGCTCTCCAATCTATCTTCATCGGCCTCGATACCAACAGCACCAAGAACCCTCTTCACGTCTTCGGCAGTCGGCGAAGCATTTCCGCCAGTTTGGAGCAGGAGGTAAGCAGCAAGATGACGCATCTGCATATGCGTCAATAAACGTATGAGACAACGGGTACATCGAACGCACTGTTGTGTAGTTTTAGTAGAACGATAGCCACAAATCACTCTGGTCACTGCCGTCAATCCCTCTGAACAACAATGTTGCATACGAACAAAAACTGACCTTTAATCCTCGATGGGAAGACCTGTGGATTCTATCCGACGATGATGATACAAACATTGTCTTCTGCCATCTCTCCCTCCCGCGGAGGCGTAAAACTGTACAGTTCACCCCCAGCCACACCTTCCTAAATTGGCACTCCCTCAACTCAACCAAACAATCTAGTACACGCTACCACTCCCATCGCCATCCAAGACAACATCAAGGCATTCACGACGCAAACATGGTCTGTACCGAATGTTCTGTCCACCGATCCATGACGGAGAATTGATTGCGTGTGTTCATCATGTCTAGGCGGATTCAGCTGTCACAGATCCCGCTCTCGCTGCCGAGCTCAAGAAGAGGAGGACGTTCCGTACCTTCTCCTACCGCGGCGTCGAACTCGACAAACTCCTCGACCTAAGCAATGAAGAGGTACGCTCACCCATCCCCTATCCTCCTCCCTTCCACTCACCCACCCTATCCATCTCTCTAGTTCATCGAAGTACGTTTTCCAATATATAACTTCCTACTACATCCACGATCCTACCTTTACACATAGCTCGTCCACGCCCGCGCTCGTCGCAAGTTCAACCGCGGTCTCAAACGCCGTCCAATGGGTCTCATCAAGAAACTCCGCAAAGCCAAAAAAGAGGCCCCTCCGAATGAGAAACCAGCCGTCGTCAAGACCCACTTGCGAGACATGATCATCGTCCCTGAGATGATCGGTAGCGTCATCGGTATATACAACGGCAAGGCACGTTTTGTCCTCCCAACTTTGCCGATTCTATTGATGTGCTAATTGGTACTATTTCCAGACCTTCAACTCCGTCGAAATCAAACCCGAAATGACGGGACACTATCTCGCCGAGTTCTCTTGCTCATACAAGCCCGTCAAACACGGTCGTCCAGGTGTACGTCTCCCATCTCTCTATCATCTTCACTCTGCTCAAATAACTCTTTATCTGCGTGCTTTAACCTCCTCAGATCGGTGCCACGCACTGTAAGTCCATCTCACACGGTATTATACACCAACGCCAACTCATGACGATCACAATACAGCATCGAGATTCATTCCTCTCAAATAAACAAGAGTGGAACGGGTTTTTCGTCGACTTTATATTTCATGTTCACGTCACTCTATTACCTCCCCCACGTCCTTGGTACCACCAAAATTTGCCTATGCAACATGCACCCATGAACAATGGCATATGAACATGCGAAACCCAATATCAACATCAGCCTTTCGTGCGATTATCTTAAAGATTGTTGCTAAAACACTGAAAAAAGAGTCTGTCTGTCCATGCGAAATTCACAAGTTACTACGACCAACAAGAGACAAAGAGTTCATCGTCTTCACAAATGGGTAGTACATTTTTCTTTGGTTGGGGCGGGAGAGAAGATGCACGGGTATAATAATGAGTATACTGCAAAAGAAAAAGAAAGAAAAAGAAAAACAAACAACTGAGAGAAAGAGAGTAGATATAGTCGAATTGACTGAACAAACGCTCGTGTGTCCGTGTCGTACTTTGGGCGGGAATGGTTGATACTGATTGAGCACGTAGAGGAGAGAGAGTACGGCAAGCATCCAAGGATAACTTGGGAAAAAAAAAGGAAAAGAGAAGAAAAGGAAAAGCTAGTAAACGTAGGGGCTAACGCGGTCCCGTAAACTACAGATAATGCTCGAGATCGCAAGATAAGACGGCAACGGACGGTAATAGTAGCCGTATCTACAAACGCAGGGTAGGGCAGGGTAAGGATGGTAGGGGAGCAGCAACAGCAGCGATCGAAGGGTGAGGCCGAGGTTCATGGTAGAAGCCGCAAGGGGGTCAGCAAGCAATATCGATGGGTCGGGGTAGCACCAAAGAGCGTATGTATCAGAGAAGGTGGGGAATTCGCGAACGGCAAATGCGAACGGAAGCAGAGTAGATCAAGGTAGCGCATGTGAGGGAAAGCAAGTGACCGTATACGTGTTAACACTACACCACGACAATGACGACCAACGATTACGCAGAGACATAAAGTCATGGGCGCTGTCGGATAGGTACTGCCTGGTGACCATTCGGCGATACAGTATGGACACTATTCCCCGCTCGACCGTGGCGGTGGTGTTGCATACGACGTCGGCCGTCCTCCTGGCGAGGACGCCGACGGACTAGAAGCATTCGGTCGCGGTAGGATCGCCCAATCCTGGTCTTGAGTCTGCGACGGCTGCTGACTTCGCGGATGGTGTGGTTGCTGTTGCTGTTGCTGCTGCTGCGACTGGTTCTGGAGCATCATCGCCCCTTGCGAAAGCGAAGTCGGTGGATTATGTACAGGCGATGGATATGAATGGCCAACAACGCCGGGGTATGGATGTGGTGACTGCTGCCTTCCATTCCGTACTTGTTGGGAATCGTTCGGCGCCGTCGTCAACTCTGGAGGCGATCTCGGCGCGGTTATATTCGGCGACGATGGCGTGCCCGTGAGCGCCGGTCGTCCATTATTATTACCATTATTCGCCTTCATTCCGCATATAGGTATCACACTTTTTCATGAACTCCTTGCTCGGAAGATCCATGCTACCCGCAAAATAGTCCTGGTCCCGCAAGATCGGGATAAATTCTTCCGGGACAGTATAGAACTCGTCTTGATTCTCCAGAAGGGCCGTCACCACACGGATCGCACCGAAGCTCTCGTCCCGCACGGCGTCCCGACCTCGTGAATACAGAATGCTTGGACAAATGACCGTGGCAAGGTTCTGTAAGTCCATCTTGCTTCCCGTCGATTCGTCCATATGTGCGAATGAGGCGACCCATTTCAAAAACACAAAAAGCACCTCCATCGTGTCTCGATGACTTTTAGGCAGCAGTAGAGAGACCATATGTAGGATACGCCGTCGTTCAGCCTCCGTCGAAAGCGCTGTAATTAATAATCAATCAGATAAAACGCCGCTACCACTAACGCCACGACAAGTACTCACACTGCGATGCAATGAGTAACCTGTGCAGCTTGAACGTCATTAACGGTTCCGGCAACTCTCGTAGGAACTTTTTCAGTAACGCAGCCAGTTGTACAGGATTGTCCTGCGAGAGATCCACAGATGAAGGGTCGTGGTCGATGTTCTCTGCGAGCTCCTTCAGGCGCCTGATGTTACCATTCCGACGGAATATGCCCTCCACGGACATGTCTGAAATCGGAATGCGTCAAGTCTTTCTCGATGCCGTATAAACCACTGTCACATACCCATTTGCCGCATTGCAGAAACAACATCATCGATAAAACTTGGTACTCCCAACGGTTTTCGTGTCGCTCCAAGTACCGATTCACACCCTTCACGCTCCACTAAAAGCTCCAAAGGGATACCGAAAACACCTTTATATAAGGTGCGTTAATATTTGATTAGGCTCGTGATTGGAGCTTATGACTCACCCTTCTTCTTAACATTCTTCTTATCTCCTGCTTTAAATAACTTATTCCAAAATCCACCTTTCTTCGTCTCGATCAGCTCCAAGATCTCGTCCAAATCCACTTGGTCTCTGATGGGGGACCGCAATAGTGCCAGCAAGGCAGAGTGTTTCACGATCGCCAGCTCAAGCGCGCTCAGCCCTGAAATGTATGGCACAGCACTCTGAGATGGCAGCGAGCGCTGCTGCTCCCGTGCCTGTGCCGCCACTACAATCTGCGGAATGTCAGCAAGCGTAATCCCATCGTCTGCGACACGCAATGGCGATTCCTCGAGAACAGCAGCAGGGGAATTCGGTGCAGAGTCGTCTACGATCTTCACCTCGGTGTTGTTCCGAACGAGTGCTGGACGTGCCTGTGGCAGGTTCAGGACATTCGTGTCTAGCGTGCCCGGCAACCGTAGTTGGTTACGCGAAGGTGGAAGCGAATTGGTCCCAGCAGATGATGACCCGGGTTGTGACGGTTGCCGCCCCGGAATGAGATTTGGCGGCGGGCCGCGTTGAGGTTGAGGTGCTTTGATAACCTCTTGCTGTGGTGGTGGACGCTGTTGAGTGCTCGACGGTTCCGACGGATGAACCGTCTTGCCAGTGGGACTGTTGACGACGGTCGATCGTCTAGGTAAACGTGCTGTCGCAGAAAGCTTGCGATCGAGGTGGACGGATTTCATGCGCATAATGTCGCCCGAGTTGCGATAAGGATCGTGCTCGCTAGACTTTGGAGTAGGCGCTGCGGACGCAACTGGAGAAGAGGAGGTCTGATAGGGGGGTCGTGGATGGAAGGGAAAGAAAAGACACATACCTGGCGAGAGCGGAATGACCCCCTGTTGTTTCAAGACCAGATACAAACGCCGCAAAGCGATGTTCAGCAAGAATGCGTATTGCTCTAGTCTCGAAACCGGCTGGAACCCGTTTCGGCAACCAGAGCGAGCGTGATCGGTACACAGGATCACGGAAGGAGCTTCTCCATAAGGGGGTATGTCCTTGAGAGACTCAACCTCGTACACGAAAATGGCTACGTTCGCAGGGGATCGTTTGACAGCAGAGGACTTTGCAGGATCTTTCTCGCTCTTATCCTTATCCTTCTCCTTGTCGTCCTTGGGTGGAGCTAGCTCCTTGGGAACAGCCACCGCAGCAGCTTTTCCGCAGACATTGCACTGCAAACAGTGCGAGTGCCACCTCTGATAGGTACCAAGTCGAACACAATCCTCTTCCACGGCTTCTGTGCACTTGATACACCGATCCGACGGCGGATTATTCACTGAGAGCCTAGAGGGCGACGTGGTTGAGAACGGCGACTCGCCTGCGAGCTCTGGTGCCAGACTCCTATAGCCGTAAGTGACCCCTTGTGTGCCTTGATTTCCAACACTCCCATTTTGCCGCGCACTCACCACCTCACCATTACCATTTTTGATCAACCGGCGTGCTCCGGGATCACCAGCTTGCACGGCAAGGAGATGGAGCTTGTCGAGAAAAGATGGCATCGCTTCTCTCACGCTTTGCTCCCTTTCCAATTTTAGTGCCCCTGTCAGCGCGATTCGAATTAGGATCTTGAGGTAGTGGGCTATCCCTGTAACAAGGGCGAGCAAGTCCTGCGTCATGCCTACTCGTCGAGATCCCGTCTCCTGAGTGCGCGACAAAAGCGTGAATAGGTCCACCGTCTTACGACAAAGCATGCGTGCTTCACGGACATGAGAAATCCCTTTTGGCAAAGCATAAGCGACAGTTACAAGAGACTTGGCAAAGGCATTGAACGTACCCTTCAAGTTCAACCTTGCAGAGTGATACTCAAGGTCGTCAATAGTCCCGAATAGGACTTCCACATGCAGAATAAACTTCTCCGCCATCCTGATGGCATCGAGGTACTGTCCATTACTGACCTGCCGCAGCATGTCTGATATGCATGCAGCGCTTGACTCCTCGAATGCCGAGAGCACACTAGATTGGTTCCAGAAGTCTTTAATACAACGTCTGGAAACACGAAGGAAAATAACGTACGTCCAAATCCGGTAAACCAGTTGCTCCATCCTGGACTGTTTGTCCTTTAGGGTGGTCGGCGTTTCTCGTTTTTCCTCTTCAACGTAGGATGGCTCCAGTTCCGATCCATCAGAGATAGACCCGCTCGACCTCCGCGAGACGACCTTGACGTTCCAGAACTGCAACGGTCCGTGAATACCACGCGTTCGTGTGGAAGCCCCACGCCTACGCGAACGCACCTTGTTGATCATGTAGCACTCTGGGTGCCAGCATTCATCACGCATGTTCCGATTAATTTCTACAAACTGTTTCAAGATCGCACTGCTGCAGCCGGCGCATTTGGTCGCAAATCGCGTCGAATAATGGAAATGGCAGTAGACATCCCCATCGTGCTCATAATATGAGTCGTGCGGGCCAAACAACGTTGTACAGAGAGAGCAGGTGAAATGCTCGACGTGGTACTTCTTGTCTGATCGCCGCGTATAGTGTTAGTAACATGAGACCAGATCCCTCGCCTAAACACTTACTGCAGGCCGTAATATAGCTACCACGGAGGGCAGAGCCACAATTGGCACAGATGAGGTTCAGACGGCGAAAGTAGTCTCGCTCACAAAGTGGCAGCTGTTTCCCTTCGGGGCCGTCGATGGGAAAAAACTTTGATGCAACGACATCGCCACAATCCTGGCGGGGTGCGGAGATATCAAGTGTCGAAGTTAGAACAGAAAGTCGGGTCTGACGAGGGAGGGGAAAGCACACGCACCAAGCACTTGAAGCAACTAAGGTGGAAAACGGTACCAAGTGCACGTACGAATGCACCTTGCATGGAGTTCCCACAAGCAGAACATGGCCTAGACAGGCACGCATGAGATGTGGAATCGACGATAAGAGGGAAGTACGGGATAGACATGTATACTAAGACGTCAGAGAAAGGAGTGAAGACACTTACGATGATGAGAGGGTAGCGGAGGCAGTCGAAGACGAGGACGTCAACGGACCGCCGGCCTTGTTTGGAGCACTGGATGACGAAGATGTGGAGTGGACGGACAGCTGGGAGGTAACGCTCCTCCGCCGTGGCCTTTCTGGGGGGATCTCAGATGTGGGAGTACGGTTGGAGCTATTGGGCGTAGGAGGACGGCTGGCAGAGAGGTAACCGGGGGAGGGATGTGGTAGAGAGCCAGGCATCCCGTTGAGGTCATGCCAGCTTGAATGACAGTGATTTAGATCGTCGCTGCGAGCGTGAGTGGGAAAATCGTGTTTGGCAGAGAGATTCGAGCGACCAAGGTCGTGGGCTGAACCCAACGTGGATGCTCTGGTTGGCACGGGACGATCGGGGAAGCGGGAAGGGGCGGTTGGTGGCGCAGAGACGGGAGCGCCATGGTGTGAGTTGGGTTCGTTGTCTCTACGCGCACGGACGGGAAAATCAGAATCGGAGGCCATGATGAGTATCCGGGAGCAAAAGGGTGCAACGAGAGGAATCAAGAGCGAATGCAACGCTGGTCTCGCGAAGATGTGTGCATGCGAGACCCCCGATCAGTTGACTTTGGCTGCCGTCGCTTGTGCACCTTGACGATTATTAACTTAGTGTACGACCACTAATAATAATGCACAGACCTGGCGACGAACTAGCAACGAACGTTTTAGCTGGCTGAGACAACGCACGCAAAGCACACACCGTGACACCACGTTACTACCGGTCACACCCGTGACCAGCAACCACAGTACTGTCGCCTCTCCTTTGATTTCGAACCTGACCACACAGGACATTTTAATAGCTTGGCGACAGCCTGTTTCACGTCGCATTCCTTTTACTCGTCTTACGTCCCAGGACGGCTAGTTGTCATAGGAAAATGTACCCCCGAATTTCTGCTACAATACCTGCGTGAAGTTGCCCCCCGACCCGACCGGGCTTATCGTTCGGTCGTCGCTACAAATGCGGGTCCGCTTGGAAGAGAGGGTATCTGCTGTTCGGGATGGACGGTCCGTCCAACGTACACGCGGACCCAATGTATATTAGATTCCCTCGCCGCGGATCAATAATAATATAATACGACATGGTCGGGTGACTTCATATACTTAGGATGGTCTCACACAGTAGGCATGCAACGCAGTGCTCTCTCTGCGTCTCCCACTCCTATTGATTTCTGCCTTAGCCCCACAAGTGATCATGCTGGAACTCGGGAAAGGTCATCTTGGAATATATACTCGAAATCGCTCCAGCACGTCTTCGGATGACGCATCTGAAAGGCTAAGGACTTACGACGTTTTCCCTAATACCAGTGCAGCTAGCAACGAGTCATTGGTTAATATTCCAACCTTCGAAGTTTCAAGTACATAGATACACGCCACATATCCCAGCCAGCCACCAACTAGTTGATCCGGTTCGAGGGCAAGGCGCAATCAAATGTCATTCGGAGGGCTCCAACGCTGGTTCATGAAACGTTGATTGCCGACGACACTGCTCCAGCCACTACACACCATGCCAATGAGACGCTCTATACTATGGCGCGCTACTACATGCAGTATACCCTGGGGACCTCGTACCAGTCCACCGGCAACTCCCGTTCCGCGCTTGACGTCACGCGCCCGGCTTTGCTCGGCACGACGGCACACTCATATCGATGCCGGCCGAACTTCCCCCTAACCTCACTACCACGCAATTGCAAGTATTCTCATCAGCCGAAGGCATTCGTCAACGTCCCCCCCCTGCGTTTATAAATCTCGCTGGTCAGAATGCATTTCCCCCATCGACTTCACCTTCACTCGCATTCATCACATCGCACCTGTTACCACTATTAGTACGAGATGTATCCCCACCATCCTCACGTATTTCTCCACCGTCCTGCATCCCGGATCTTTTGGTTCCTTATTGGCGCAGGCGTCGCAACTTGGTGGCATCATTCCCGCGTCATGCGCGATCACCATTCTCAATACTGGCCCTGCGTGGTGCAACAGCAGAGGAGAGGCGCATTGCAAGACCAACCCACCGGAGGCTCGGAGCCGCCAATTGCATACCAAGAACGGGATGCACGATGGGGATGGAGGCATAATCCATCCTCCCCAGGCGCGACGGTGGGATGGAACCAGCAGGAGTGGGAAGAGAATAAGGAACGATTGAGGAACATTCAGAAACGGGTCAGCGAAGCTGTAGGTATATCCAGTACGGCATCATGGAACTTGTCTGACCCACTTTTGGCAGATGGTTGACATGTCTGAGTCGACGCTCGAGTCCATCGTTTCTACAGCTGAAGCTCTGAAGGCTGTACGTCTTTTTTACCTGGGCATCCTTTCCCCCGATCACTGACTGGCCGTTCTAGCGACTCGCGGAGAATCGCGCTCGACGAGAAGGCGCCTTCCCGCCGGAGACAACAGAGCAAAAAAAAGATCCTTCCCCCTCTGTTTAAACCCGTATCTGGCACCAGCAATTTACAAGACATCCCCACTCCGTAAAAATAAAGATGCTAATTGGATATTGTCCCTATGACTTCCAGTTTGGAAGTCTTCAGGTAGTATTATAATTCGAGGGTACCATGCCACGTATCGTGGTCACATACTGCATATAGAACACAACTTATTGACATCTCCAACATTGATGGTGAGAGTGCAGGAGACGTCTAAGGTCCAGTTCGTGTTCGATTCAACATTCAACGTTCATTAGGCATAACACACAATGCCCCTGCGCACCACGCCAACGCAAGGAGAATGATTACCTGTCATAAACAACACTACATTTACATCCGGCACACAAGTCCAACCACGCAGAATCCTCTCCGTATTCACACATTTCAGACTCGCTCTTCTTGCCTCCGAACATACGCCGGACGCTGGGGGTCCACCTTGCCCTGCCCCTCCGCTTCAAATAGCAAACGTACGAGCATCTCAGCACCTAAACACAGATATAAAAGGCGGATGAAATAACGTACGCGTCGCATGCCAGAAGTACACCACAAGTCCGATGACGACGACGCAGAAAGATGGAAAGTACAGCCAGTACGGAGAGTAATGCTGTTATTGTCATAACGGGTATTCCATCCGAAGTCGACGGAAAAGGGAAGGGTCAGGTCGCATCTTGTGTCAAGCCACAGGTACAGGAAGGCACTTACGAAGAGGAACAGCCCTAATTGAGCCAAGGAGAAGAAAACAAAGTTAGCGGACGTCATCATGAAAGGAGTGGGAGAGCGGAAACGTTACCGAAAAGGAGACCATAAAAGTCACTGGTTAACAGGCTGATGTTGTAGAAAGGCGAAGACGCAGAGCGGTACAGAAGTGGGGCGGTGGTATACAGGACAAACATCGCTGGGAAAACGACTAAAGTTCAACAAACTAAACCTGGTTAAAATGAGATTCAACTCACCAGCCGTATAGGCCACCAGGAAGCCCCCTACGAAGAAATAAGCATATGGAGTAGTGTTGCGACATGTGATACCCACCTGTTGCACCATTCCACGATGCCAGTGTCATATCGTGGTGCTCCAAAGCGGATGCTTGGATGCCATTAATCAGCATCCCCCACATGCCCAGCTGACCAACAACCTATGCCGTGCATCTCATCATGACAGGATAACGATACAAGCCAACAAACCTAATTACCTCGTAAAGGGGAGACCTCCTGACAAAGAACTCTTCCGTTGCATTCGCTGAACATCACTTAGCGCTACTCGCCTTCGTTAAGATTGCGAATAAACACTTACTGAACCCGTAGAGTGTGGCACCGACAATCATAAACGCATCACCTTTGCCTTTACTGAGTGCGGGGTGGTTTTTATCCGTGAGCATATCCGACGCGACGAGCATTCCGAGTCCGCCTATGCAGATTAGTATACCCTGTCAATCGTCCAGTGTTATCCATCCTGCACCCCGCAAACGATGCTGCTGTCTTACCAGCACTTGCGTCCAATGATATTTGGTACGCATATAGACCCAGCAGAAGAAGATACAAACGGGAATAGCCCAGCTAACGTCAACGTCATGTCAGTTCCAAAACTCTATCATCCCCCTAATAGTTTGCTGCGACAGCGGATAAGAGACCTACGCATCGAGGAGCATACAGGACAATAAGTCGGTATAATTGTATGCCTATAAAACCGCGTGATCTGTCTTGAGCGAAGAATGAATGATCGGGTTGTATGCGATCGACGTACCTTGACGACCAGGAAGTTGCCTTCTACGTCACAACATGCGAGAATAAAGTCTGCATGAGCATGTTAGGGGTTCAGAGAACCGATTGCAAGGAAGGAAGAAGACGTGCATTTCCATCCGTCCCGTGCAACCATTTTTGCCCATCCCTTGAAGCCATCTAGAATGATGCATTAGTCAGTACGAGACCCATCGAGGTGTGTATACGTACATTGATACATCGTATAAGGGGTATAGACCGCAAATAATGAAAAGTATCTACGGGGTGGGCCGATGTATCAGTGCACGCCGACGGATGACACCTCCGAGCGGGCGACCGACTTACAAGAACCAGGTTTGCGTAGTGGGCAATGACCAATTTCGATCCACGAGCTCCGTCGTCGTTACGTTCGTCACCGTAATACACAGCGATACCACCTGTCCCGCGATCATCGAGAATATGAATCGGCGCGTCCACAGACTTTTCCATCGTGCCCATAGACTAGAGAAGAATGCGCCAAACGAGGTGTACACGATAGGCGGCCGAAACTCGTGGTCCGATACCCCATCATCCCCATCATCAGCGTGGGCACGGGGAGTGTACGGCGGGAGCGGGTCGGATATGATCAGGTCCTGTTTGGTATCTTCGACGGACATGGCGATGATGGGATCCAAGGGTGTAGCGGCACCGCTCTGAACGCCTTTTATATTGGCTTTTCATGGATCCGGCTCCTGTGCATTCTGCAGATGGCCGAAACCAAAATCGGTACCTTAAAAAATCTCCCACTGACTGCCAGTGTCAGAACTCAAAAGTATGGAAATGCGTAGCCACCTCAGCAAAGTTCTCAAGGCTTGACAGAGACTACAACCAGGTTCATACGGCTTGGCGTTGAGAGGCACTCCACTAACATGTGGACATGCGAAAAACCTTGAGTGACAAGAAAGCAGGCCACATGGACCCTACAACACTGCACTACATAACCAGCAATGGGTCCGACACTCGGTCGAAGTTGCAAGGGCGGATAAATCGACCCTAACGTTGCACGGCGCAAATGTACCAAACACGAATGAATACAATTCATTATTCCCCAAAATACTATATGCTATAGAACGGCCTAGCTCCTGTCTTGGAAGAAACGCTGTACGGGCATACATAGTCAGAGACAATCAAAGGCCCAACGAAAAAAAAAAATCCGCCACTCACTTTGAGATGCTTGAGTTGCCACGTACACGTCAAAACCAACACCACGATCTGCATCAGACTATACCAAACAGCTCTCGAATTCGTAGCCTCGCTCAAATTCCTAAAGTCTATCTCCCTCTCACGTTGATATTGCTGCTCTCGCCGGATATCCTCCAACTTTTGGTTCAGGTCACGGACCTTGGAAGCCAACTCGGAGACGTGACTGCGGTCCTGCTCAATGTCTGGTTTGACCGTGCCGACGATGATGTCGAGATAGAGCTTGACGTGTGTGCTCGAAAACCACGAAGTGTAATTGGTGGAGAGACAGATGGAGTGGTCACCTGCATCGTGCGAAGTGAACGTAAACTGGCCCTCGGGGGGACCGCGAGTCTTCACAACATTCTCCCCAGTCTCCATTTCCTGCATCGAAGGAACGAGTCGGTGTAAGTCCCTCACGTCTGGAAAAGCACCACGGCGTACCTCGACCTCTACCAGGATGCCAAGCTCTGGCTGGAGGACGTACTCTCTTGCCTGATCATTCCATTCAAGTGCTTTGTAGTGTCCTGAACACAACGTCGGTGCCATTCAAAAGCACAAGGGCCTGTGAAAGACAACATACCCTCGACTGCCGTGTCTGAAGGGAGTTCTTCGATGAAGCACCGCTTCTCGTTTGCATCCAAGTAAAAATGTAGCCCATTAACTGTCGTGACCAGAAGTAAGAAAACCGCTGCCCCAACTCGGGACGCAAGCATTTTGAGGGTATTACACGCGAGTTGCAGAGGCGTCGATGCGAGCGGGCAGTAGCACAAGCCCACGTGCACGTGACCACGTACTTACAAAAAAACACTGGACGGGCAGAGGCTAATAGCAGAAGTGAAGATGGCCCCTCTGATCCAGCCATCGCTCATCAAGAACAAGGTGAAGCGACAAGAGATCGCTAACAAGCAGAAAAAAGCCAAAGGACAGCAAAAACTTCAACAACGCCTGGCACGCGCGAAACAAGAGGCTAATGATCCAGCTGCAAAGAAGGTATGGACTCACTGTCGACTTCTTTTATCTACTCTTCAACGTCGTACAGAAACGTCTAGTGGAAAATGTCCCCAAAACACTCGATAATACCCGCGAACATGATCCTTCCATGCTCCCCACTTCTAAACAAGCCACCGGATCCTCCGCAGTACAGATCGAAGAGCTAAATGCTGACCTTGCATCCGATCCATTTGCTCCCTACTTCAGCTTTACCGACGACCCGCATCTACCACCAAAAGTTCTTGTCACTACGTCACCAAAAGCCTCCAGAGCAACCTACGATTTTTGCGACGAGCTTGTGGGGGTGTTCCCTGGCGCCGAGTATATACGGAGGAAGAAGGGAAAGGGGTTCGAGGTGGGAAGAATCGCAGGTTGGGCTGCAGGGAGGGGTTATAAGCATTTGTTGGTTGTGAATGAGGATATGAAGAAACCAAGTCAGTGTCTTCCTTTCGTTCTACATACCATCTAACATGTAGCACCGACAGACGCTATCACATTCGTCCACCTCCCAAACGGTCCGACTGCGTATTTCAAACTCTCCTCCGTCGAACTTACAAAACAGATATTCGTCAGTCCCTCTCTCCCGTACTCGACGTACGTATAACCCACTCCGAATGTTATCACTAGGGCCACGCACGCGCCACGCCGCACAATCCCGAGCTCGTGCTCAACAATTTTGCCACGAACCTCGGACATGCCATCGGACGTATGTTCCAAACGCTCTTTCCACCTCTTCCAGAGTTCCAGGGCAGACAGGTCGTCACTCTGCACAATCAACGTGATTTTTTATTCTTCAGACGACATAGGTCAGCATACCGATCCACAGTGATTCGAGGGCAACCGTTGAACAACTAACCATATGCGTAGATATGCTTTCCGATCGCCTGAGAAAGTTGCACTGCAGGAAATTGGTCCACGTTTCACACTCAAACTACGATGGGTGAAAAGGGGGCTTCCAGAAGTACGCAACTTCGGCGCATCCCCAGAGGCATTGGAGATCACTACGGGGGTAACCGAAGAAGAATCTGCACCGCCTATAGAAGAAATCACCGAACGTGACGGGAACGCAGATGAAGACGACGAAGACGATAAAGATGATGAGATGGGTAAGGGCCCAGGGAAATCCCAGCCTCCCGCGAATACGAAACCGCCAAAGGATGGTGAATATTTGTGGCGTTGGAAGGTACGATGCATCTTGCTTGATATTATCGATTTTCGTGCTAACGATGTCAGCCTGAGCTGGAAACGTCAAGACGGACTTTCTTCCTTTAACGTCATGTTTTGTATCCATATACCACTGGTTTCAAACGTATAAAAGTTGTTCCCTGATCACGGTTGATTCTTCCCTTTCAACCAGCTGAACCAATTGCTTGGTTCTGAATGTGAATCACAAGGTCTTTGATGGCGTATGGAACCCATTGTCATCCCTGGTTTTCCGGATCCCTGATAATCGTTCCGTACAAGCTTCCCTATGTGACAATGCAAAAGTGATTGTGACTGCAAACTACCAATACCCGAAGACCCATATATCTCATTTCTACCATGCATGAATGCCTAAGGTCCTATGACAAACGCAGCGTCAGACCTGGCTGACAGAGTGGGATACAGCAGGCACACTCGGGCCATCCGGTACAACGTTTCCCGTTTGGGCTTGTCTAGACGTTGAGAGGCGTGACGAACGCAATAGTAAGTATTTGTTGAGAGCAACGAACGTCTCGCTGGGGTTGGAGAGGGAACAACGCTCACGTGGCCGAATATACTGTCATCTCTATCTCTCCCCACGTCTGTACAGATTCGAAATGGCGGCGTATGTTGAGCAGGAGGCGGCCGCCAAACAGCGATGGAAATGCGATGGCCCAACTGTTCGATAGATGGAAGAAAACCCGTGAGTCTGGAGCTTACACATCAGAGATGGGGAAGAAGCTGGGACTTGCGTACGGGAAAAAATACTCGAGGTTTAAAGGGTCAATGAGCCACGCTACCAATAGGGATAAAAGACCAGCAGAAATTCTGTTCGAGAACCCAGGAATCGTCGCATGCATGGAACGCTCCGGGTAGAAGATTAAAGACTCACGCAAAGAAATATATCAAGCTGTGAATTCGGAACGAGGAGAATCAACAATGATACGAGGAAACGGCGATATGACGCCTAACTAACCTGTCCCGTGCTAATAGTGCCGAAAGCCCTGTCCGCGCATGGAGCAGACCTACTGCTTTCTTAAGCACTAGCACACATAGAATGGGCTCAATGACGATGGCCGGGACCCAGAAGAGCGACGAAAAACGGGGAAGTGTCTCAAATGCACATCCGACCGGAGTAGAGATTATCGGCAGCGCTGGATAGGATCAGTTTACTGCGGAATAATGTGAACGATACGTGACGCACTGCTCAAACGGGCAATCATGATTGCCAGGAGGGTGACCATGACTATGCATTCGGCACAGAAGAGGATGACAAGGAACCATAGCATCTTGCGGCTTCGTTCATATACCGCCCATACCTGTATAATGTTCCCAGAATAGTGCGGGTTTGGGTAACTTGCCATGGTCACGACGGGGCTGACTAAACTCACCCGGAGGTGCATGGCCGCTATTCGCAAATCAGCAAGGGTGAATGCAAAAGGACTACAAGAGGGGGACCTTACCTTGGACGGAGAGTGTCATGACTAGCGTTCTGGGGTAAAGGAGTTAGCTTTTCCAGACATTCGTTTTCACGTAAAACGCACACTATGTTGCTACCTAACAATGATACAGTACAGCTGAAAATATCATTAGATCACGGTACAGAGAGCACATGAAATCACACATCTAAGAAGTAGGGGTTGAGTTCTTGATCGGTGGACAGAGAGAGACGACCTTACCGTTATTGCTGGGGTCCCTTTTGGCAGGTCCACCATCGCTAGCAGGCATAAGTTGCGGAGTAGTTCCTATACGAAGCAATCACTAACCCAGTTCGGATGCAAGCCAGACAGGGGCTAGCCATGAGTTCTATGCTTTGAGTGAATTGTAAAGGTTGACGGGGCAAGGGTATGTGCCCACCACGAAGTAGAGTACCGTAACCCAGCTCCTTCGCTTGCACCACACGAGGTCGATCTGGGTTGTATACAAATGAGCGACTCGGACGATGGCATCGTATCATTGCAGTCAATACCTCTTCCTCCAGGATGATGACTGCCACGGGGATTAGCAATGCATCATGTAGCTGGGACTTGCCCACTCACATTTCTCATAGATTAGTACAGCCAACGCTGCGATGCTGGCCTTCCTTCCCACATACACTGCAAGTAGTCAATTCCAAGCAGCACGCTGGTTTGAGTGCCTGCTCACGGATCTGATATGCAGCGACGGGGTCGTTGGAAAGGTGGAGGTGTTTTGTTCTACCGCGATCCATGACATTCCTCCGCGGCGCGGAACGTCTGTTACCGGAATGATAGAAAGAGCATCGAAGCGTTTCGTCAAACCGGCGTCCCCCATTTTCCGCTCTTTTATTTCGTGATCGTGATGGGTGAGAAATCCTGGGTGTATTCGTATAAGCCACACCTAGAACTTCTTAGCCCATCGTCACAGTATAAGCCACGGGACTGGTCCTTTCAAATACAAGGTTGATTCCGTTTGTCGGCCAAGCAATTCGTGGCACGGGACGTCATGTATATCGAATATGTTTGTCCCCCTGGGAACGACGTCTGAAGAAATGTAAGTGAGGACGGGCTGGGATGGGCAGCCTGTTTTCTCAAGTTGGGTGTGCTTTTCCGTGCCACCGACACGATCGACTGCTCAGCTTTTGAGTCTTTGCAAATTCCACCGCATCACCCGATTCTGTCATTTGCCAAGAGTTTTCGTGGGACGGGCGACTCGCCATAGTTTTTCGAGTACGCTTTCATACTTTTTGGCCCCTGGCAAGCAACGTCCAAAGACTCTGTAGGGGACACTGGGGATGCAAGTCAATCTTCGTTTCTCCAGCTTTCATGCGCCACCGAGTGACATAATGTCCTAATCCGACGTGATCGCCCAGCTCGCGTCTTTGCAAATTCCTGGGCCAGCCATGACCAGGTCAGACGCGGACCAACTCCCCCCACCGGAGGCCAACGCCAAACCAAAAGACTACCACGCAAAGTTCTCGGTATTAGTTTCATCTCTGATCGGTGACTAGGTGAACACACGGTCGTGACTCATGCGATTTGCTATTAGGCCCGCACGTCCTACAGCAAACACACCGAGTGCGACGATTTCTCTAACTTCGCACATCCTCAACCCAGTTAACCACGTCTCCATCTCAGCCCATGTGAAGATGCCGCCAAAGCCTCGCTGAAGTGCATGGACAGAAACCAGTACGACAAGGGCAAATGCGAGGATTTTTTCCAGGCATATCGGGACTGCAAACGAGCATGGGTGTGTCTCTCTCCCGCATTGATAATACATGGGCTCGACCGCCATTCTCACATTGTGAATCATAGCTCGACGAGAGGTGGAACGATCGAAGGGAGGGACGTGCAACCCCTGTCTAGTTTGAGTGAAAACGCTGGAAGATGGGTAATACAGCTGCTCATATGTAGATTGGCATCCAGGCTCAGCTCGGAAAACTTCAGAAATCATGGGTATCCTTCACCCGGCCCCAAGGTTGCCGGGTATTGGCACAGAAATCACATTGCAATGGTACAGTACGTGCAATACATATTTGAATGGTATGCAAACGACGGCGTGGCTTGGACGAGGCAGTACTCGGTGGTCAGCAGTTGAGTCCATATTTGGTCGATCGTTGCGCTCGACCAAAAATTACCTATTGTGGCCAAGTATGCTTACATAAGGTATGCAGTCCCCTTTGACAAGCCTCAATGATCCGGAGTCAACAAGTCCGTTATAAATGATGGCGTACCGTGAACTTCGAGATAATTAACTGTATCAGAGGTATTTATGTCACCCCAGCGCGCGAACGGCAAGGCAAGTCGAATGTGTGGCCACGACAGTGAAACGTTTCAGAGAAGTTGCCGTCGCCACGCTTGATACGAGCCGCGCGCGCATTCCTTGAATCAAGCACGAAAGAATTCTTGAACAAAATGTAACGGCCTAAAGTCCACGTTCCCTCGAGCTGCTACCTGCATGTACTAACTGCTGTCCTTGAGCAAACCATGCGACAGAAGCGAATAGCAATGCAACAAGCCCGCACCAAGTGGCCATCGTCGTGTTTGAACGTTGAACTGCCTCCCGATGGGGCCAAATGACGCGGGGCACTTTCTGTCGAGCTGCTACCCTGTCGCTACTGTCATCAACTCACAGTGACTACGCACCGTCGGCATCACAAAAAGTCCATAGAACTTGAGACTGGCAACACTATACAATCTCGATCTCGACCTGGGCTGTAAGGCTGTAAAGAAACTGCCGCACCATCGTGCCACGGCGGCAGGAGGCAACGCGAAGAAGACAAATAGAAGCATCGGAAGAAAGAAAGGGGTACCACGACATACATACGTAGATGGAATCAAAACATAGCTAATTTTTAGCATCGGCATCACCAGCACTTGCCTGTTCGTCAGCGTGGACGCGTGCGAGCCAGGTGCAAGTGCTAAATATCTGCAAGCCGATGAGAGGACATCGGTACAACTAAGACGAAGGAAGAGGAGGCGGAGCCTCAGGCTGTGGTGCAAAGATCAGGTTAAGAGGCGGCGTCGTCTGGCTGTCTTCGTTCAAGACAGTTGCAATAATAGAACGACCCGCGAAGGACCGTCCGGCAAGTGCTTTGAGTCCCGCTTGCGCCTCATGGCCCCATGCGTACTTGACGTATACACGCCCAACACCTGCAGCCTCATCTGCGCGCTGGGCATCCAGGGCAGACTGATAACCCAGATCGCCAGGTGTCTGCTTCGACTTGTCTTTCTTGACGGGCCGAGGAATACGAAGGTCCTCGACGACACCGTACTTGGAACATTCCTCTTTGACGTCCTCGTAGAGATCACCGTACTCTTGATCATCCATGAGATCCTCTGGCACCACCATATTGAGCATGAGGAGAATGCGTGCATCTGCCGTGTTGTTTTCGCCTGCTGGCATGATGGGACGTGGTATCTCTGGGAACTGATCATATGGAAGATTGGGCATTCCTGGTTTTGCACCGACAGAAGCCCGCTGCACAACCAGGTATCTGTCGCCGAGTTCCATGCCGTTCAAGCTTTGAATAGCGACGTCAGTAACAGATGCATCCGCGTATTCGAAGAACGCAAATCCCTGCTACGAACGTCAGCACTCGTACTCCAGAACACCCAAAGCACACACCTTTGAAGGGCCGTTGCCATTTTCGCGGACGAGGTTGAAAGCCTTGAGTTCGCCGAAACTCTTGAGCAGCTCCTGTACCTGCTCTTCGTTGAGGTAAGTTGGTAAACCACCGACAAAAACTTTGTTGATCGAGTCTGGAACATTGGTGGAAACGACGCCTGGGACGTGAATACCAGGCGAGTGTTGTTCTGGGCCACCATAATCCTTTGGTCTGCGAATTTTAAGTGGACCGTTGATGAAAATGATGCCGTCAAATGCCATTGCTGCCGTGGCGTCTTCAGCGCTGCGGAACTAGGTTGCCAATGACGTGAATACTAGTACGTGATACAGTGAAGGGAGACCTGCCTCAACGAATGCATAGTTCTTCTCGTAGTTGCACTGTACTGCAAGTACGGGTTTGCCGGGGCCGCCTGTACCGATACTCATTTCGATCATCTTACTGTTGAAGAAGTCGGCTAAATTCTGTTCGTTGACCTCTGGTGTGATGCTGCCAATATAAAGACGACGAGACTGCCTAGACAAGTTAGGGTTGCTGCCGATGCCCATTCCAAACGTTTGGACTGGAATCGGGGGAGGTAAACCTGGGATACCAAGAATGGGTGGAACCTGGGTACGGTTAGCCCCGGGAAGATTGAAGAGACCTGGGGAGGCAGTTCAGTAGCTGACAGGCCAACCAGAGAAGACAAACTAACCTGTTTGTTTTGCCTGCATGGCGGAATATTGTTCATATCCGGGAGCATGAACATCCCAACCCGAAGCCTTGCGTCTGCGCTGAGACAATGGAATGGATCCTTCTGGGGTAGGGGATCTCCTTTCAGGGGAACCGGCGTCTTTTTTACCTCGTCCGCGACGGGGCGGTGAACCTTCTTCGCGTGGACGACGATGACCGCCACGATCTTCATCGCGTCTGTAATTGGGACGTCTATCGTCATCTCGCCTGTGATCGTCGAATTCCCTTTCACCACGGCCACCAAAATCTCGGCGCCTGTCGTCCCGCCTGGAGGAGTACCTGTCTCTCTCTCCCCTCTCCCTTTCTCTATGTCCATGATCCCTCTCTCTGTCTCGTTCTCTGTCTCTATCACCACGATCCCTGTCTCTGTGGCCATGGCTGTACTCTCTGTCTCTATCACGATGACCGTCCTCGCCATGCCTGCCCCGACGGTCCCGGTCGTCTCGGTGTGAACGTTCTAGAAAAAAAAAAGTATATCTGTGGTGAGCGAATCTGCGTCATAAGTAGTGCTGGGTGGGCTGGATTCAGCAGAGTCGGGCTGTGCGGAAGGTGTGTGTGAGGGACATGGTGGCACGTCCCACGAGGCTAGCTAGCTAGATGAAAAGCACGGTAAAGCGTAGCAGTGCGACAAAGAGCAACGATGCACCAGCATGAGTATGCCGCCTGATCCATGGAAACAACGAAAAGAAAGAGAGGAGACGGAGAAAAAAAATGTGCAAAATAAAGTGACGGCCACAAAAAAAGGTCGCAAGTACCTCCGTCGCCTCTTTTCGAGTACAAGCCAACTTTGACTGTCTCTGTGAACCCGAGTACGCGGTGTCCATAAAAACTGGATCGACTTACCTCCTACGTCTGCCATCATCGTCGTTCGCCGTTAGTGGGGTTGGTAGTTGCTTGGAAGCCACTCAGACGCCCGCCCCCGGAGTTGCAAACACAAACTCCCGGGAGACCCCTGGCACTGCCTGCTATTAGCCCCTCCAGGAACCCGCAGTACTTCTCCTTCCGAACACTACACCATGGCCACAGATCTTCCCTACGCAGCAGACGCGCAAGTCTCTCTCTCGTACGACGAGCTAGAGGTTTGTATCACCCCGTTGCACACTGCATCTTCCAGAGCTGACGTGGTGGCTGTTGCTCCTTACCAGGTGCTCAGATCGCAATACCAGAAGGAACTCGCTCAGTCCCACGTCACCGTACAGACTAAGTTCAACTATGCATGGGGTCTGGTAAAGAGCCCCGTTCACGACCACCAAGTGGAGGGTGTGCGGTTGTTACAGGGTAACTTCTTTTCGTTGAGAAAAAAAAAGGAACCGGTGGGTCGCTTACTTCGGTATGTGTAGACATCTACAGGACAGAGGCGGGACGACGCCGAGAATGTTTGTACTACATCGCACTTGGGTACTACAAGATGGGGAACTATGAGGATGCGAAGAGTTTCAATGGTCAGCGCTTCTCCATCCCTCTTCCACGGTGATTTGACGCCCACCTCCCTCGTCTGCAGATCTATTATTGGGGAAAGAGCCCCAAAATCTCCAAGCCCAGAGTCTCTCTGCTCTGATTGACCAGGCTGTTACCAGAGGTGCGTTATCACCGTTACCGTCTGCGTTTGGCACGACTGGCTAATGGACGTATCTTTTTCCGAAGAGGGATACGTGGGCATGGCTCTCACAGGGGGGGTCGTGGCACTGGGGACGCTTCTCCTAGCGGGCATTATACGGCGAGCCACTCGTAAATGATGCGAAATTATCGTGCTGACGTTCTCTTCGTATTTCTTACTCCCATGCAATCTGCACCACTCTACACACTCCTCTCCATGGTTTTATTCGTATCCTTTTCGTACCCCTTGATTTATCTCATAATGATTCTGAATCGTATCTCTATGATGTTGATGAACGGCCTCGATCGCTGTGACATGATTAAACGAGTAGGCGATCTCCTTGATATGTTTTTTGGGATCCTGTCACGCTCTGTCCTTGGAATACAAAACACGAATAGTAATTTTCAGCAATATTCCCCTAGGTCAAAACCCGACGATTGAGAGCGGAAGCGGAAAGGAGTGTGTCGCTGAGGAGTGCGCATGTGAAGGTGAGATGATCGATGCAGGTGCTCAGTCAGCTGTGCAGGTCAGATTCCGTCTCGTGATGAAGTACTTAATGGGCTATGTATTCCAAATTTGTTCCAGCAGAGATGCTGCAACAAAAGAAGCGTAAGATTGGGAGTGCATGGTCATAGGATCCTCTAGGTGAGGATATCATTTCACTTGCTTATCGTTTCATAGACAACAATTCTTTACAGACTTCCTTATTTGACAACTTCTAACTCTTTCCGGGTCCAACTGCTACCAACTTGGGGAACTAGTTCACAGGGACACGTATCCATAGAGGGTTTTTTCCTCACCTGAACCTTTGATCAGGCTTTCATTTGCGATAGTATGGCGTTGACTGAGGTCGCAGGGAGGGTCTCACGAAGCTTGTTGACTTGTTACGATAGTTTTGTCAGTCCCTCGAAGTGAGGTGAGCGCCTGCGCGCGCTAAGTCGCATCAGACAAGCGTACTTGTTGCTGGGTGACTATATGCACTGCTCGGAGCGAAACCCACTATGCCCGTGGACAGTGCACATTCCACACTGGAAGCGGCGGATACTGTCCTTCCTTCAGCGCGGGAGAAGTTGGATACCACGTCGTTTTGTCCAAAGCGGGAGGTAGTAGGGTGGAATCCCTAAAAGTCGCGAAATAGGTAACTTGAATGCTAGTTCTGTCCTTGCGCAGTACGACACAGATGCATCTAACTTTCTTCCCATCCTGGGCAAAATGTTTGTTAACTTCTTTCAAGCGTCATTTCTACTTACCTTTGTAATGTGAAGGTTGTCGAGTTCATATCAGCAAGGTCTAACTTGCTGACGAGGATTTCCGCGTGCATGATATCACCGGGCATCAAAGAGCTCCAAACATTGCTTGCACTTCTGCATTGACACTGACACTGGAGGCAAAGGTAGGAGTAGGTCCGTGGCCCTTATCTTGCCGCGAGGTTTAAAATGGCTCAATCCCTTTCTACTTCTTCAATCAGCGGGGTGGTGCTATCGAGCGGCAAGGTCACGTCTTTGTCTCGCTCCCCTCTGCGGTCCCAGATGTCAACATCAGTCCCGTAGTAGCTGTCCTCCTCGAGATCACCGTCACCATCGCCGTCCATGTCCTCATCAGGAACTGAGACTATGGATTCATCTGGAATGGGGTTGGTAGTTTGGGGGCAGCAAGGTGTCCAGTCGAGTGGACCATTGTCGAGAGAGAAGCCCAACCTGCCAGCCAGACTCAAACGAGTTCCTGAGTGCAACATGGTCGGGAAACTGATCAAATGTCAGGGAACGGCTGTAAGTAAGCAGCTCGCCGAATTCACTTGGAAAACCAGCAAAGAACTCTGGGCCTGGGCAGGTCGATTTCACGGCTCGGACGATTTCCTGTGAGCGCAATCGAGACTCCAAGCGTGGGCGAGGTTCCCAGGGCAAGTTGCCGCGGAGAAGGAAAAGAGCGATGAAGGCCGAAGATTCGGTATCATCGCGTGGAGAAAGATCTATAGCGTGATAAATACGAGTTAGAAAGAATGACCCTTCCGCAAAGTACATGATGTACACCGACCTTCCCCATTATGAGAATTCAAACTTGCCCAGTAAAGAGATCCAACGATGCGTCGACGTTCCTTGAGTGGATCGTACTTACTATGAGCAGCCGATTGGTCACGGGAAAAAGGCTTGGAAATACCAAAGTCGATAAGTTTGATCGTCGATGGATCATCAAGTGCGCAAAGAAAGTTCTCGGGTTTGATGTCGCGAAGCACAATGCAGAGAGAATGGACGTGCTGTAGCGCTGCGAGCTACGCACGTTGCGCCGTTCAGCATACATGGCATGAATCAAGCGGGGAGCGAGATTCAACGCACTGCTTGATCCACGACACGAATGACGATCTTCACCGCTACACCAGCACCATCCCCCTGCAGCTGTGCGACACTTGGTCCCAGAAGCTCCGTAGATGGCATGTACTCGAAATGCTTCAAATGACCTTATCCATGCACGGCAGGGATAGCAGCTTGACCCTTCAGCAATTCCAGTAAACGGGCCTCGTGTCGAAGAGTGGGTCGTTTAACTGTCATGGAGACTCACGATTTTTTGAGGGCCACGGTTTTAACAGACCCTTCTTCAGTTGCCCTATACACAATGTTCTGTTCATCGTTCAGGATGATCGATATCGATGAGTGATGTGAACCACGGGAACGAACGTGGCCCTTGAGCTCACATAGGAACACTTTCCAAGCACTCCTTTACCATAAGGCGCGAGTTTGTATCGCAGGGCACTAGCAGAGCGAAGCGTCATGGTAATTCGATGTAAGTGATGCACTCGAAGCGAGCTCCAAGTCAGATAAGATAGTATGTCCCCTGTAGCGGTGCAAGCCCAGCTGACTAATAGTTTGTTGATTCATTTGGCTTGCCCCCTGTAACTGCTTCATCGGTCATTCAAGTTGATTCGACGGTGAGGCCTGTGAGGATGCACACCTTTGTCGAGAAACTTACAGTATGCCAGTGAAAATTCTGATTTGCATCCTTGCTGCCATACTGCAAGTCTCCTGAGATAAGTTTCTTGACAAAGTATCCCATCGTTGACTCCCTTCACCAGCCTCGTCCTCATGATGCATTCTCGTTACCATTCCGTGATAAGTTCAATTCGTTGGCGGTGAGAATAGTAGCCCTTACGCACGATAGTACTAGTGCCACTGGATCCATGAAAATTAGGAGGCTGTAATCATCTAAGTATGATCATCGTAAACATCGGTTGCCTCTCCTTAGGTTATTTCCAGGTGTGTATATGTCAGGCGTGAGACCTTGGGTTTTGTCATGAGAACTCTGAAGAGCCAAGAGAAAGGCACCGGGGGCTGGTTTCAAAGGGGTATATCATGTTAAGTTTGAGTCTGACGGCGTGTTGTAAAGATGCAAGGGTATCTTTCGTCGACGATCTGTTGATTTATCTCATAACAGTCCCGTACCTCGGCTGGCAAGTGACCTTGAAAGTCTGTCGTGTCTTGTAGGCGTTCTCCGTGATGACTCTTGGCTGGCTCCGTCCTCGAGACGGGAAACGTGAATAGTAACATTAATTTATGCAACAGTCTCTGAGCGGATGGGCCAAAGCGGTAGTCATCAGTATCACTAAGTGTGGTAAGAATGCGAACAAGTATGCAATGCAGCGATAGATACGTGCGGGGTGATGTAACAAAAAGATACAGAGACGCTGTTCCCGTGCTACAAATGTCCGTGAGTGCAACGTGGCAGTTGGGTATGTCGTGACTTGAAACGTTCCTCATCGTCAACATGCGTCATGTAGGCAGGAAAACAGCTTTGGATGTCGTCAGGTATAATGCAAGGGCCGATAGTCCCAGAGATTTTCTTACCCGCTTGCGTGTCCATATCACCGTCGGAGAGCTTGAAGGATACTATACCAAGTAACAGAAATGCAATACATATACCAATCTCGAAAATGATCCATACGCAAGCCCAAACTGGAGACGTCAGCAAGGAACGTAGAGACGTGCGTAATCATCTTACAATGAGCAGGGAGACGTGGGAACATGATATGAAACTGGGTGCAATCTGAATCGTTGGCCTTGCGGAAGAACTTATCATCGGCAATATCCCCTGCGGCACAAGTCACGAAAACCGATGCACAACGGCAGGGATCTGGTTGTCTCACAGATCACGAAGAAAACGCTACAGAGTCGAGTTAGATCGTAGCATAGAAAGTGCAAGATCGGACTAACTTCATGACACCGACAAACAGGCAATACCATCGCAAAGCCTGGCTACATCGCAGGGCATGAAGTCTCACGCCTTAATGCCTCGAGGAGACACGAGGACTTACGCATGCGCGATAAACCAGAACCCAACCAGAAGTCCTTCATAGAGCACCGTCAGTAGAATCGTCCTGTAAGCAGGTAAAGAACGCTGGTGCGCTATCGAAGAGCGTACGGATAACGCACAGTTTATCACGAACGAGAACGAGGGGTGTTACCAAGCCGATTCCGAGGACGAAACTGAGAATCTTGGCAACAAGTGTATCGAATCCGCCAAGGATGAAAACCCCACCGAAAATAGTCGAACCAATGTATCCGGCGGATAAAATAACGGGTGGTTTACCACCTTCTATGAGAGTTGCGCCTCCCAAAAACGGGTCTATTGTCACAGAGAGGATGGTACCACCAGTGAGTATAGCCTAGCGCACACGGAGAATGAACACCGCGTTGTTCAAAGGTTCGAGTGGGACATACGGCGATGATATGACATAGTTCGTGCCAACCGATGGTGAACAGTTTGAGAGGGTTGATGAGCGTTCGTGCGCCGGGGATATTCCATATCCCAAAAATAACGACGGCATAAACCACTGTCTAAGTTCCAGCAGTGCCATGTCAAAAATCCAATATTGACTGTCCATCGAGTCAAACGTACAACATACAAAACGACCACCTGGAGTGAGCCCGGGTGGGGAGGCCACGCCCATGCATTTGAATTTAGCGCGCAATACTAGGGTATGAAAATGACCTAACACCGACCTGATCGTGTGTTGGAACAAGCGGCGGCGTTGTCGCCGGTGTTGGTAGTACGCCTGCTGGTGGACCTGATTCGGACATGGATTGGCAGGTTGACTGCCGCTGAGCGGTTCAACTTTCAACGACGACGACGAGTTGAAACGGAGAAGACGGGGAAATGGCGGTGACTCTCACTTATTTCTTTATTTTCCTTTCTTTTTTTGCGAACCCCTCGTGCTCACCTCAAGGCCTCCGTTCAACTCGACTTGCCCTGGAATGGAACAGTCGGATGCAGACTCCGACGTGGGAAAAAGAGTCCTATTCGGGCCGGCGCGTCAGTCAGTCACGTGAGAAACGCGTTGAGTGTGGATTTCCTTTTGAACTCCGATCCGTGGTGGACCAATAAATACCTGGTCGCGCTGAGCGCGTCGAGACATCGGTCTCTTCACTCTCAACCACTACCACCTCGCCGAACTCTGAAAACATGGTACGAATGCCGTCTCTATGCCTATTACACTCTGTTGACCCAGTTCAAACAGTCCGGAAAGGGAAAAGCGTGAGTTGGAACTCCCCCACAGCCTTGGAATGGTTCTGTGACCTCCTGCTCCAGTGGCAAGTCCTCTTCTGGAAAAACCGGTGGCGATGCCAAGACGCAGTCGAGATCCACCAAGGCTGGTCTCCAATTTCCAGTCGGTCGTATCCACCGTCTCCTGAAAAAGGGCAACTACGCACAACGTGTCGGCGCGGGAGCACCCGGTAAGTCGGTGTAAGGGGCTGGGTCGGATGGGCGTAGCTCACCGGTATTGGACCAGTGTATCTGGCTGCTGTGTTGGAGTATCTTGCTGCTGAGATTCTCGAGTTGGCAGGTAATGCTGCGCGTGACAACAAGGTCCGTACCTTGCACTTGCACACCACCCTTCGGAGTCACTCTGACACCTTTTCCAGAAACAACGTATTGTCCCTCGTCATCTCCAACTAGCCATCCGGAATGACGAAGAGTGCGTCTCCACACTCTTGCACTGCTTTTCGCGCTCACTTGTTCCCAGATTGAACAAACTACTTGGAGATGTTATTATTAGCCAGGGTGGTGTCGTTCCCTTTATCAACCCCGAACTCTTGCCTTCGAAGTCGAACAAGGGCAAAAAGGATGGTGCCTCGCAAGAGGTTTAGATTCCCGTTGTGTTTTGGCTTTGTATTTGCACTGTACTTTATTCTGGTAATCTACGGTATACTTCATGTAACGGCCATGTTCTCGTCAGAGTGGAAGGATATATTTTCATCATACGAGGGTGAACATACTGAACTTGAGTTTTTGATATAGCAAACGTACGCATGAATCAATATCAAACTTACGTAAGTGCAATGGAAATTGTCCAAGAAAGCATCAGATCTCCTCCCCCATCAATGTGATTACTTGTTCACCACCTCGTCCTCTACATCACTCGCCATTGTTCTCCTTGAAAACCCTCCGCGCATGCCCACACCACGGCCCTGTACACCGCTCCCACCAAACATCGACGAAGGTCTTGAGCCAGAACCAATTCCCGACATCCTCTTAAGTCCCGGCGACGACGACCGGGGTGGCGGCGAAGTAGCCCCTGTCCGATTAAGATTCGCGACTATACTGCTAACGCTCCCTCCACCTGGGGCCCTGGGACCACGAGAGATTCGAGGCCCGCGCATGGTAGTAGTCTGTCCCGACGTGTGTCTCGACAAACCTGAACGACCGGGATTGAGTGGTTGATCGTCTGCTACCGCACCCGCACCACTCCCTGTTGACGGAGAGGGAGAACGAGCGGGAGAGGAGCTCCCGGATCGGACTGCTGATTGACGCCTCAGAGCTTTAATTGGATTCTGTGGTGTCGCAGGTGTCACCGCAACGGCTGGAGAGACGGGTTTGTCGTCCGCGATGGGAAGCGTTGTCCTTGGCGGCGATGGGGGAGGCGATACGAACGAAGGTTTAGTATAGGGACTATCGTCGAGTTCTGGAGGGGGTTCTTTGAATGATGGGCGGGGAGGTAGATCGTCTAGTTCTGGAGGGGGCTCTTTGAAAGTCGGACGAGGTGGCGCGCTTGGATCTTCTGCGGTCGTTGGTGGAGGACCACTCTCATGCTCAGGTTCCGATTCCGGAGCGACATCCTCCATCTCCGTCTCTGTGTCAGGGACCGTTTCTGGCTCAAAGGACTCCGGCTCTGCGGTGACCCGAGCCGGAGGGCCACCCGGTCCAACCGCACTCACTACTGCTGGAGTAGTAATAGTAGCAGCAGCCTTCTGCGCCGCAAGCTCCTGTGCCGCAAGAATTTCCCGCGACGGACTCCCCACCGAAAGCTTGCCCCTACTCATCCGCATATCCACGGGAGCAGTGCGTTTCCTAATGGGCACGCGCCGCTCCGATTCGCGTTTCTTTCGTTCGATCGTCGGAGGGAGGATAGAATCGTAGTTTTTGAGAAGGTCAATAAGGAACACTGCGACGGAGGTCAAACGTCATTGATGTCAATGATATTAGTGTGAGAGACATACACGTTGGGTGACGATCTTGAATGGAAAGTTCTGTCTCGACTTTGGGTCGAATAATCGCTGTGCGCAGTGGTTAGGAGGAATAAAGTAAATCCAAATGGCGGACGTCAGAACACTCACTTCTGCCAACCGACAACGCTAACTTCGCAATGTACATATCATCATCCTCTTCTGTACTGGTCGTGTCGATGAGTCTGCAATTACGAAAAGAATGCGGTAAGCACGCCGGGAACGACGATGGTTCCATTATACGAGATTTGCACTCACTTGCGCAAATGTGTGACTATGGTGTCGAGGACGAAGAGGCTGACTTTTGGAACGCGCAGCAAAGCAGCTTGTAAATCCTGTACATGTTGCTGTTCTGACGTCTCGTCGTCGAGTTTGGTGGACCCAACTATCGACCACATCCCAATCACGGTCAAGCACCTTACACGTACGGAACAAGGCAGACATACCAGTCGGATACAACTTCCTAATTTCGTCCCAGCCCTCCCATAACATTAGAGGCGGATCGAGTTCAAGCGCCCAGAGCTTCACACATCCCGCCAGAATAGGTGCGTCGAATCTAGAAAGCATCTCTTGTGAGAAAGGCTGATCCGGTGGAATGGCATTCAAGCTTTCGCGAAGATGGTGGAGGGCTGGGAGTGGGACATCATATATCCATGATTTCCGTCTCTCTGCATGACATCATGTCAGTTCGTGAGTGAAGAGAGCAGGATCATGAAAGAAAGGACATACCGTCATCATTAGGGAGATTCCCATATGCATATCTTAACGCATCCAAAAGCGCAGTAAGTACAGGAGGAATATAATCTTTCTTCTCCTCGCCGGAAGTGAGCGCAGACCAGCCGCCTTCGGCCCACTTGCGAAGATCAATACCGAAAACGACATCCGATTCATCATGTGCGACGGATTCGTACAATTTGGGAACAGGTCGGAATGGGCCCGTACGGTATTGTTCAATAAGCGCTGTCAAATCCGATTCGGGCTGGTAAGTCGTAATGAATGTTGCGGAACGCTCTAGAGTCGGTTCGAGAGCTTTAGGCAGATTGGCCAGCGTTCCTTGGTATTGGTGGAGAACTATATGCGGTTCCGATGGAATGGATCAGCAAACATCGCATGTACACAGGACTCAGAAGAAACACTGACCAGTTTTCACAGCCCTCAAACGTTCCGCCTCGCCTCTCTGAAGCGTCTTCAACACTTCCTCAATTCGCTCCTCCAAACCCAATCGTTGCCTATCCAACTTGCGCACCGCAACGCGATACATCTTGTCAGCCTCCTCCGCCTCCTGGCGTAACCTCACGTATGCAGGCTCGTTCTGGGAAGTTGCGTTCAAAGCCTTGGTCACAACGTTTACCAAATTATTGGACCGCTTTATTATATTATCCGCGATCTGGCTTCGTTTCGGTGGGTTGACAGTCTCTGGAGCCTTGCCCTCCAGATCGAATGCCTTAAAAATAAATCATAAAATTCAAGCATTCGTTTGGATCAAGGAGCGGACGAAGGCTTACCTTGGGTCTAAATTGATAATAACTATCATCCGCATGTTCGAATTCGTTGCCAAATTCTCCAACACGACGCAGCAAGCCCTCACGCTCAGTTAACTCCTTCGCAGCGTCTTCCGCAATATCGAGGTTCCCTTCAAACGTAGGAACATTCTTGTTGAGCCATTCTACAAACTCAGCACCGGTGAAGCAATCTGGGTATTCGCCGAGAAGAGGGAACCGCACGGGCCTAAGGGGCATTTCAGCCGCAGCGCGGGTGAGTAAAGTCGATAAAGCCGAAGGCGGGAATGAAACCCCGGCCATTATGATCGAGACTGGGTTAGTTGAGGGCTGCGGTGGCAATGATGTGTCCAGCTTGGCAGGTGGCAACGGAGGGGACATCGGAGGTGGTGAGGACAGTTCCGTGGCCTTTCCTTTGCCTTTGTCCACCTTCGGGAATTCTTTCTCCCCTTCGGTGACGTCTGTGCCGGCGTCAGATTCGTTCGTGGCGGAGCTGATAGACCCTGCGGCTCTGCGTTGAATTTCTTTAAGGCGCTGTGTAATTCGTTCGGAAACAGTTGCGGAGCGTTGGGGCGTGCGTGTTGTATCGCGAGGCGCAAGGTGTGGAGATGTTGTGTAGTGGTCGCTCACATCATTTCCCGGTGCGAACCGCGCTCTGAAGGTAGCGTGTTGAGCAAACGGAGATGATGAACAAGAAATAAAACGCACTCATCCTCAGCTTCGTCTGCTTTACGGGTTTTGGTTAGATATGAGTTTTTCAATTTGATAACCTACAAGTTGGCGACGAAGTGTCAGAATAGGGATTACCCGTGAGCAGGGTGTGCAAACCTCTTTCTGTGCATCCTCATAAGCGTGCACCCAGTTGTGTAACACTTTGCTTTTACTAGACGACAGTTGTTCCTGAATTCATCGATGTGAGCACGCACATATTCGTTACCGCATACATCACCGGCATGCGATACCATACCTTGTACGTCTGAGCCCACCTATTGAACGGTTCCGCAACGAGGGCTTGAAGGTCGTTTGCAATTTCTTTGTGAACTTTACCTTGGGCAACCGATTCGTCCTGCAAGCCGCGGAATGTCATGAGCAGTGACGCGCCGTCATCCCTGTTAAAGCCGGTGCCTGAAATAGGGTTTCGTCAACGGTTACGTTGGGAGTTAAGGGTGGCAGACGTACCTGGTGAGCCGATGGTTGGTGGGTTGAGTAGAGCATTGGCAATCTGGTTCTCTGCCTGAGCACGAGCCTGTGTAGGAGTTGCACCATGGTCAGTACGAGTGAAGAGAGCGAACGGCAGAAGAAGGAAGCCGTCTCACCAAAATAAAAGTGATTATTTCGTCGTTCTCAGCGATGCCCTGTCGCAACCAGTCAAAAGAGGGCAAGAACAATATGAACCGGGGGTGGGCACACCTGTTCCAGTTTGCCATATAACACTTCGAGACCCTTGCGATAGTCTTGGGTCCAAAACGAATTGGCGAAAGTTAAAGGCAGCGATATGACTGCCATGATTCAGATGAAAGTATGTGTCTTTGTTCGAACACGAGGTGTTCCGGCGTGTTAGAGGGTTTTCACCGTGCTCAACGGATTTAGCGTTGTCGGGGCTGTGCCGGTTCCTAGTTCAAGTATCTCTCTGCACACCACTGAACACCCCGCTCAGTAGCCAGTGTCAGTAGCGACGGTTGTGTCCTGTCCGTGGCATTGACGCCGACGGGTGTTTCCGAGCTTTTTACGGTCGCGGCTCCGCAAAGATCCTGGCTGTCTTAACAACGCAAGATCTGGAACATTTTCCACCAAGAACTCAGAACAAGAAAAGTGACTTTTGATTCCGAACACGGGCTGCTCTTCAGCCGTCCTCGCCTTTGGCACCAACGGATAGGTCTCGGAGCGGTGTTGATGCCAACACTGGTTGTTCCTGGATTTGCATGCAAGACATTACATACCCGTTGAGCCCACTGGTTCCCAGTAGTGTGAACTTGGCTGGCCTTGGAACTGTGCTTATGTGTCTATTTGTATCTGAACACCTGCAGGGTTACATATCTGCACCTCCCTACTTGTGCATTATGTGGAAGTTGCTGTCAGTGCCCATGTTGGTCTGTTAATGTGTCCAGGTGTCATAATATTAGCCCTCCGGGTGCCCCTGGATGCAGGTGGCTGGGAACATTTAGAAAATATCTCTAGAATGGTTACATCTGTTACTGGTACACTAAATACAGAAAATATGGTCTATCAGTTCAGAATTACACAAATTCTTGGCAGATTGCAGTGTGAATAATTCACACTACAAAGGATACCTTTCTGTGAGCAGGATTATGTTGGGTGGTAGATTTCATAGCTGGGGGAAGGGGTGAGATGTTGTTAGATGGATACATGGAAAATGTCTTACAAGTTGTTGATGATGGTGTGAAGGATAGGTGGGATGCATAATGAGATGGAGCCACAGACATGTCCACTGAGAATCCAGACAGCATCTACAATACTCAAGCAGTAGAACATGGTGACAGGCAGAGTGCTGTGATGGGGGACAGTCATGAAGTTGAGTGATATAGCCAGCCATTGTCATTTAGTGATCTTACTCAACTTCTGCAAACAAAGGGTGCATGGAGGGTTTCTTTGCATGTATGAAATGGAACCCTTGCAATTTGTATTTGAAGAGGGCTAGCATGTGGCTGGGGGTGAGGGTGCAGCTGTGAAGGCTGGTGGTATTGATTAGTGCATGGTGATGGAGGGTGAGGGTAGGGTGCACACAGAACAGGGAGTCAGCAGTGAAGAAATTCATGACAGCAGTAGAGTGGAATTGAAAGATGGGAGAGAGGGCAGATGATGTTTTTGACACTACAATGTTGATGTGTTTTGGCCTGTTCTTGAAGGTGGTGACAGTGAAGATGGTGGAAGGGGAGTAGTTGTTGTGGTTAGTGTGGCCTTCACATACAATGTTATAGTGGTGCTTGCATAGAAGGTTGTAGGGTTGTGGTTGGCTGTTATATGGGATGTTGTCAGACACCAAAGGTGTTTGGTGACTTGGACATGGACAATGCTGATGAATGGAGATGAAAGACTAGTGCCCTAATGTGAAGAAAGACAGCCAGGAACATTGGCAGTCATCCTTCACACAAGAACAAGTCATCAGTGCCAAAGAAAAGAGAAGGAAGCAGGTTAAGTGCCTATAAAAATTCTTAGTGCCCATGTACAGCATTCTGGTTTCTGACATATCTCCCCCGTTTCTGCAGATACTGATGCATTCCCACACTTGCTTATAGTGCTCAGCCATGTGATCCTACCTTCCAAAATTGGGAAAGATCCTCATACTCCACATGTTTCTACAGTACTCCCTCCAACAGATGCTCATTTCACTAATTCTTCTGATATGGCCACCTCTACATCAATCATGTCACTTGTCCCCTTTGCTAGGGACCATGGCTATGTATATTTATCAGGGATTCCTACTAGCTTCTGTCCTGAAGCATCCTGGTACATCCCATCCTTGTCTGCCCCCTCTCAGCCCATCCAGTTTGGACAGTGTGTTCTTTTTGTCAGTATGACCTCCAGGAGGACATTCTTTGGTTGCCTCAGGTCTGTCATTTGGTTAGAAAGGTCATCTCTCCAGTCCAAGAAGCATATGGATCCTTCCTCCCTGCTCCCTGCAATGTCTTCATACCAGTCTTGTCCATCATTCATTCTTCCAAAATTGCAACAGCTACAGTATAATCTACTGTTCTCCACTCCCTGATCACATCCATGATGAGTATGATGCACATTTTGCCCTCTTGTTGCAAGATACAGTAGAAGACACTCCCCCTGCATCCTCTCTTCCAACAGAGTCTCATTCATGAAGTTTTATTTGCTTCACTGAGAGGACAGTTGGGGGGAAAGTTGCAATCCCCTATGCTCCTGTCACCCCACAGACCCCCAAGGCTTGACCCCCTTTTGATACCTGACACCTGCCATCCCCTTTTGGATGTACTATATTGGCATCAGATCAGCACTGCCTCTCTGTCATCCCACCTTGGCCTAGAAGCAATTCCTTTGAGATGTGACATGCACAGCCTCCCCCTAATGTGATTCCAGTGCACTTTCTCAGCTTCTGACATTGCTTGACTCATATTTTGAAATTCTGACTATCCTTGACTCACCTATTGCAAATACTTACCAAGCTTTTGACTTTGCTTACTGATTCTTCACCTTTTGGCTTACTTATCCTTACCAATGCTCAACAATGCTTTCTAAGTTGATTACCCACTGCTTACATTCCTTACTTATCAGTTACCAACCACTTACCAAGTGTTTACACCTTGTTTTCCACAGGCAATGCCCCTGTACTGTATATAAATCACTGTACTTAGGTAGAAAAAAAAAGAGACATCAGAGAGCCCCTCTTGCTCACCTTTCATCATCTCTCAGAAATTCATTCATCAGCTTTGTTAGTTGAGACTTTATTAAGGGTCTAACTATTGTCTACTTTGCCTATTGTTGTCTATCATCAATATACTTCACTCCAAGTCCTCCCTGAGCTCAGAATGGCTTAGGACATCAAATTAAGTCATCATCCATCCTTCTGTAGGCTGACAGCAGTCTACCCTATTGCATCCTCTCATATTCTTGCTCCCTCTTCATCAGGAGCACCCCCAACCCTCAGTGCTCATCTTTGAGTGTTGTAACTTGCAAAAACCCACCTGAACAAGAGCTTCCACCATCTAGATACCACATAGGCACACCACCACATGCTTTCTTTGTCTTTTGTGTTGGTTTTGGTTGGTTTACACCACTGAACCTCACTTTGACTCACAATGTATATGTCAAGGTCAGAAGATGACCAATTGCATGAGTTGGTGGGTAGTAACATCCAAAGGGCAGTGGATCCTGACACAACAGCATTGCATGCAGAGAGCATGTTGAAGAGATGTGCTGTGCAAGGGAAGAAGGGGCTGCAGATCATGTTGAGGCAGTGGTTCAGATAGTGTCTGACATGCTTGGCATTGGTGGTGGATGTTGATGTGAGGCCAGCAAGTCTTTTATATCACAGTACTTGAGCATGAGTTGTAAGAGATTGGCATTGCTGTGGAGTGGGAACTCAGATGTCAGTTGATGGAGGGGGGGCATTGTGTGTGTTGCCATGAGATGGTGTTGGTTAGCAATTTATGTTGAAAACAGTGGTGAGGTCATTCTATGGTATAGGGGGTGGGGTCAGGGGGCAGTCACTTAGAATCTAGAAATGGTTGTTGGAAATACATTGGTTTTGGTGCAGTACAGAGATTGTTTGAGGCACATTTTATTTTAGCAGAGTTTGTATGATGTTGGCAAGGGACAACACAGGGCAGTTGGGAAGAATCCAGAAAAAAAAGTCTAGTTCAGAGATTGTCAATTCCAATAAGTGAAGGTGAGTGAACAAGGATGGTCTGTTAATGACAAGAATGTCTATGTGGATGGGAAATGTTGGGAAGGGCCTCAATTGTGGTTGGGATTCCCCAAGTAAGGAAACTGGTTATTTAACCTGTGGTGGGATCAGACAAAGTCAACAGAGGATGGTAGGATGGGGAAATACATGAGAAGGGCCTCTAGTATGTGATGGAGGTCATTCTTGCACCAAATGTGAATGGGCAGGCTGTGGTAGTTAATGTGGATGAAGAGGTATGAAGCTTGAGAGTGGAGATGTTGATGGCAGTGATGGTCAAAGAGGATGTGGAAGTGGAAGTTGTTGATGTAGATGTCAGTTTCAGAAAGAGTGTAGTTGACAGGGAAAATGTTGCTTTGGACCAGAATTTCAATGTCATTGTTGAGATGCTTAAAAGTTACGACCCATTGTCCACTGTTTTCATTTGCTGAGTAGAGAAATGCGAGGATAGATGCCATTCTTGTGGATTGCACAGGGGGGGAGGTGGGGGGAGGGCAGTGGAGGATGTCACAGCTCTTGTCTATTTATACTCTATGATGCATGTGGCCAATGGAAGAATGATGAGGTCAGAGTGGGAGATGATGGAGATGCTGGTGAGCAACACCAAAGGAAGGATTGATTGAGAGTCTTTGGATGATCGATTGGTGGTTGGGTGAAATTATGGTACCCTAGATTTCTAGTCTGTGTCACAACCATGCATTTATCCTAAGTCCCCACTCACTCTGCACCCTACTCTGCTGGTCATTCCACTCACTCTGCACCAACTCTGCCCATCCTCTGTTGTTTGCAAGTCTTCTCCACCCTGACTACTGTTGGACTTGGTATCAGCCTACTGTCAGACCATGCAGACCATCTTCTGGTGGGTCATGTGGCCCTTACCAGTCCAGCTTTTGGACTTCTCCTTGACAGCATGTGGTCAGGTACTCTGCAGTGTGTGCACCTCATGGTTCAGCACCTGGACTGTTTCTTCTTTGGGATGTTCTGTGTTACCCATTTCTGTGTCCTCTGTCTACCCTTCATTCATTGTCTAGGAGGTTTTACTTGAAATTTTATGAGTCTCCATATGTCAGTTCTGATTCTGATTACTGTACCTCCATAGTAGTATAAAAGCATGTACAGTACTCTGCTGTTCTTTAGTATGAATATCACCTAAGTTCCTACTCCATGCCTCTCCATCTTCTGTCTGTTGGAGTTCTCTCCAATTTTCTGTCTGGTCTCTACCTCTGAAATATGAGGGCTGAGATCATGCAAGAGGGTAGTGTGTCAAGTCCAGGCCTACTCTGACCAACTCTGACACTAAGCAAGGGCTGGGGAGAGGTTTGGAAGCAAGTCTGACAGAAGGAACTGAACTCTGACTGGCAGAGTGTTGGCAGGAATGAAGTCTGCTGAGATAAAGGTGGAGTGGAGTGAGGGTGTCAGGTTTAGCTTGTGTGCTACCCCCTTGCATGATCTCAGCCCTCATATTTCAGAGGGAGAGTACAGACAGATAGACAGAGGTAACTCTGACAGACAGAAGACAGAGACAGAGGGAGTAGGAATTAAGTTGATATTTGTACTGAGGAACAGTGGAGTATGGTACATGCTTTTATACTATTATGGAGGTACAGTAATTGGAATTGGAACTGACATATGGAGACCCAGAGATTTTCAAGTATAACTTCCTAGACAACGAATGAAGGGTAGATGGAGGACATACAAATGGGTAACATAGAACATCCAGAAAAGGAAACAGTCCAGGTGCTGGACCATGCAGTGTGCACACTGCAGAGTACCTGACTGTGCACTGTCAGGGAGGAGTCCAAAGGTAGTCACATGACCCCTCAGAGAACAGTCCATTTGGTCTGGTAGGAGAGCAACACAAGTCTGACAGCCATCAGAGCAGAGATGGTTTGCAACTGACAGAAGTTGGGTGGAGTTGGTGTGGAGTGAGTGAATGACCAGTGGAAGAGGGTGCAGAGTGAGTAAGGACTTAGAGTGAACACATGGTTATGACAGTGCCCCCCCCTTAGGGCCTGAACCCCTGAAGGCCACATGTATGGGATGGGATCAACATGAGTTGATCATTTGAGATTATTTTGATGCCTCAAGGATGATGGCTTTAGCCATGGCAGAGCTTCATCAGAGTTTGAAGTACCACTTAAAAAACATGTGTCAGGGTACTGAACCTTTGTCCTTTCCTCCCATCACCATGCCTTCCCAGCACCAGAGCAAAACCCCCCAACCAACCCCTGGTCACATCCACAACTATTCCCAAGTCATGGATGAAGAGCTGGTCATCCTGACTGATGACTCCACTGACACTGAGTGAGAGAAGTCTGTGGAGAAGGTGCACCAATGAGAGGAGGCCAAGTGGAGGGAGAAAGAGCATGAGGCAGAGCACAAGGCCAAGCATGAGGAGGCCAAGAGGCAGAAGGTGGAAGAGGAGAGACTGGAGGCAGAGCAGAGGAAGAGAGTGG